AACCGCCTGATGCTTTCCTCCAACAAGGATTCCAAGCCCCCGTAAAACAAGCAAAACGCACATTGATCCTACACGCATCACCATTGCCTAGCCTCTTGCATCGTTTGATTTGATTGTTAGAAAATTAGGGTTTGCTGGGCTTTACTATGGAAGGAGACGCGAAGACAAAGAGGATGATCGCTGATGGATGGAGCCGACGATGAAGATGAGGGAAAGGAGGGTGGGTGCGAGTTGCAAAAGAGAGAAGGAAGGGTGGGTGCAGTTGCAGAGGAGAGAAGGGAGAAAGGGGTTGGGGACCGGGTGTGAGGTAGGAGACGGGAGTGTTTGGGTCAAATTTTTTTTAATTTTTAAAAAAGTTTTAATTAATTAATTTATTTTATAAATAATTTATTTTTAATTTCCACGTGGATGACATGTGCTGCCCAGTCATTGTTAACATAGGCGCCACGTTACAGTTAACGGGAGATTGAACAGTTTGACTAACGGATATATAAGACTATCTCAAAATTTACACTTTAGGTATGACTCTGGGATGAAAAAAACTTGATGTACTAAATGTTGAAAACCACGAAACATGAGGGTAGTAAACAGTCTTCTGCCCAATAATTAAACTGTTTTTCTCTTTTCCTTTCTGCTTAAACAAATGCCTTATTTTAGATTTTTCTAAATTAAACATCTGTTACTTTTCAACTTTTGATTAAAGTGCTCTTACTTTTAATTAAACTTTATATTTAAGGTATATTCTTAATTTAAGTATTTTATAAATTCTTTTAAATCCATTTCTATGTAAAAAAAAAAAAGCACTCAATAATATTCATTAATTTATTGCTATTTTTATGGAATCTCATCCCTTCCTCAATTTAAGGATTCAATTATATCTAGTGGGGTTCAAGATTAATTGGATGAAATATAGTTTTTCCAATTTCCAACTCAACATTTTATATAGATTATAAAAAAACAAGTGTCGTTTATAATTAAAATTGAGATGTAGTTTTTTGGGTTACACAACTTACACATAACGTACCATAAGTTTTGTATGTACCAAAATAAGGATGATACATCGTACTAATAACTTGGTACGTACTAAATAAAGAATTGCATAACGTACCAAAAACAATATTTTATAATGTACCAAAATACTAATACGTACTTAGATTAAATTTATATAACGTACCAAATGATTGGTACGTTATATTTAATATATCTGTTTGGTACGTTATATTTAATATATGTGCATGTTATATTTCATAATTGTATGTTAATAGGATGTTTATGTGTTTTTAGAAATTAAAACAACAAATTATTTGAATAAGAAAAATTCATTTTGAATGAATTATGATAAGATAAGATATGATGTTTGTGGTGATTTTAGAATATTTGTGATATTATTTTCTGAACTAGTTGGTTAATTAAATACAATAAAATCATAATTTTTAATTAAAAATTAGTAAAAGAATGTTTGATAAAAAGTTTAAAAGTTATAGATGTTCGATTAAAAAAATTCAAATTTGAGGCATCTATATCAAAATGCCCCATAAAGGAACCATGCTACACAATATTTATTTTTTATTTTTTATATAAACACCTACTTTAATTTTCTTCTCTTACACACACACACACATATATATATATATATATATTTTTTTTTTTCTGGGTTGTCATGTTTAAAGTATAATTAGGGTTTTAACCCATGAACTGCAGACAGAATAATAGTTTATTTGATAAGAAGGTACGTGGAGCGGTGGAGGTGGAGCAGCACATATTAATGATTCACGTAGAAGGAAGCACAGACAAGTCACGTGACCCTCCCAAACACAGAGAATATTATACGATACGTTGAATGAAGTCAAGTGACTCACACGTCTGCAAAATCATCGTCGTCCACTGCTATTTGCATAAATATTAATATGTAAATGTAAACAAACTCTTTGCTGACATGACCACTTAACTAACATTATCACCTTCTGTATTTTTTTTCTTTTTGATCGGTGCTTTTTCTGGATTTTAAAAGAAGAGAAAATAAAAAGGCATCTTTGGTTGGCCATATGGTTTGGGTTTTTGGGGTCTTGGTGGTACTGGTAAGTGGCTGCTAGGGTTCTAAGTTGCATTCAGAGCATAAAATTATATTCTCTGGGTTTTAGTGGGTCGCAGTATTAGTGAAAGTTTAAAATAACATCATTCCATTTTATATTTTGTTGATGCTAAAATTTAGTTGTGTTTTTATATTCGATTGGTCGAGTCGAGTTGAGATTCTTTCATTCCAACTAGGAAAAAAAATTGGGATAACTTGATATAGATCCAATTTTGTGAGCCATTAGTAGAATTAGTCCACTTCATTGAAATAGGTCCAATAATTAAGATTCCACGTGTGCTTATTTGTGGTTTGTACCATATTTACCCCTTAGGCTTACGAATTGTTATAAATACACAAAATTTCTTAATTATGAGATTATTTGTCGTTTAACTAATCCCTTAATTGTAGGATTAGTTATAGCCATATAATCACCTCAACCCCCAGTCCGTTTCTTTAATGGTTGATATTTTAGTTATAGCCATATAATCACCTCAATCCTCCTCTTTTTTGTCTTTTCTTTTCATGGGTGATATTTTTGTGTTCTTCCCTCTAAATTCGTTCCTCTAATGGAGGTATATTATATCATATTTATATTTCTATGTTCCGCCATGTAGGTTCCTAGCATTTTTCTTCCAATACAATATGTAGTTTATTTTTGTTTTGCAGGTAGATTATATTTGCTTTGTAGGTATAAAGCATTTTTCTTCCTATAAAATAGGTAGGTAGTTACTAGATTATATCGGTTTTGTTTTCTTCATAAATAGTAGGTAGTTACTAGATAATATTTTAGTTTGGGTATTTAAATATTCAAAATTTAAAAACTGAATAAATGTTAAAAAAATTAAAGAATTTAAATATTTTTAACTGAAGGGGCAAAATTGATATCAAAATATGTAATTGGATAATTGGATTTAGTCCCAAAAACTACCTATGTTTTTGGACCTAGATCCAAAAGCCCCAAAAAAATTAAGGGTAATGTTAACGAGATGGATCAATTTAAAACATATTTTGTAAATCATATGACGTGGTCATTGATGATAAGATTATTACTTAAGTGTTGATTAGTGTACTTGCTTCTTATTAATGACACATCGCATGATTTGTAAATATTGTCTGAAATTTGATCTACCTTATATTAATTAGGAAAAAAACTAGAAAAATCTTGGAAGACATTGATGAGGTGATTGTAAAAGTGACACCATTGTCGTATCAAATACCTAGTTCTCCATTTGGCAGTACTTATCTTTTTGATGTTGAAAAAAAGACTAAATTTTTAATCTTTCATCTGAGTGATTATAGAAAGACAATCACTCATAAGTAGTTGGTATGGCGACACTAAGTCTATTTAATTAGAGAAAGTATGAGGTTAACACAGACAAATGTGACAATTGTAATAAGAAAAAAGGGTTACTAGCGTGTGTATTAAAGAATTCTTGCAGCCCTATATTGATCACCTTATTAATTGTTGCCTAATTAATCTCTCCCACTATTATGAATGTGCCAAACATGTCCTTCGATGAGTAATTGACCAGTCCTCATGAATGAGATTTTAGCTGCTCTTACCGCAAATAGGCATCACACTTTCAACCAAGCAGCTACGTTTAGCTGGGTTCTCAAAGTCAGTCTAGGATGATTCCTGAGATGTGTTGCGTTCAAACATTTTAAGCTCGGAAACTTAAACGTAATTATAATGCTAGGAACATCACATTTTTTTACCACAAAATATTAAACCGAGATTAGTTTAGCATACGTATATTTGTGCACAAAAGTTATGCAACTAGTTAAAAGTTAGTACAGAACTGTTGAGATGGTTTGGTAAGGTAAAGCCGTAAGCTTAAATACACCATTCAAATTGACTCGTCATGGCAAGAATTTATTTGCAGGAGCAGATGAATGGAAGTTACTTCTTATAGTGCATCTCTACCTGTGAACTTGAATTGCAGTACTGTTTTGGGTCCTTCTCTAACCCTCGTAACAATTGTACCATGCAATTTGCTAATTATTTTTAATTTGCTATTTATAGGGACGAATTCGTGATATCACCTTTTTACATAATTTTTGAGACATATTTTTGTGGGCATACTTTGTAATGTGTTTCAATGATCCAAACTGTCTATCTTTTAAATATTTCCTCAAAGATCACGTGCACTAAATTACCTAAATTTGGAATCATATGACCGTTGGATTACTAGTTTAGGGTTTCTTTGTAGAACTATACTCGTCCATTTCTTCACTACAAATAAATGCCTTAATAGTTTGGATTTGTTTGATTTTTTGTAAGGATGATTTATGAATGGTGTTCTATAAAAAAAGATAGTTTAAAATACATTACAGAATGTGTTTCACGAAAATGTGTATAAAAATTCTATAAAAAAAAATGATGTCACGAATCCGCCTTCACTGTCTATACGAGTGCGCACATATAATTCTACTAATTGAGAAAAAAAAAAATTAGCTAATGAAATTTCCTATGCAAATGTGTGGCTTAATCGAATTTCTTCCTCCACTTAATGTAAAATTTATCGTTGTATTTAAAAAAAAAAATTTCCTATTTAGATCATCACTCCAAAAAAGAATGAAATTATATGCCAGATGCAAAAACTAGGAATCAAATTTACATTTTTTTTTAGCAAATGATACCTACACTAAATAATAAAAATTGACTAAACTTTATAATAAGTTAATAATAATATGATTCAAATTTCCATCCGAAAAACTGAGAATTAGTTTACTCATATACATATGTAGAAGCATAACGCAATCTCTTCTAAAGATTTGACATTTCCTTGAATTAAATAACATGCCTATTAAGACCTTGAATTAAATGAATGAATTAATCCCAAACAAAACTGGCAGGAGGAGCTGCAGTTAGTCGATGAAACAGAACCCTAAAGACCTCTTTGCGGGAACCAAATCCTGGCCGTCATTCCTCGTATCCAACGGCTCAGATTCCTACACTGCTCTTGCTTATCATTGCCCTCTTTCTTACTTCACTGTCTCCCCCTCCCTTCTCCATTCTCACCTTTGTTAAAAAAAAAAAAATGTCTGTCTCCATATTTTTGATCATCTAAGCTTCCGATCCTCGTCTCACTCAGTACAAAAATCCAATCTTTGACGTTACGGAAAGAACAATCTTTTCACTTTCAGTGCAATTTTAAGAATGGGTTCGTAGTTTTTGATCGAGAAAATCGCATTATCCAAAGTTTTGTAGCAATCCCATCTGTTTTTAGCAGTTTTAAGCTAAACCCGACCTGAAAGTCTCAATCTTTGTTCAGTTTTCAGTGGTTTTTCTTTGATTTGGTTGTTGATTGTATGATATGGTCACCGATACTTATTCAAAGATGATGTCTGAAATGTCAATGCGATCGATGTTAAAGAGTGGTGATTACAGCGAAGATTTGAGTATGTTGAGTCGTGAACAGAGGCGGCAGCATGAAGCAAGTGAGCGGGAGAAGGAGCTGAACATATACAGGAGTGGGTCGGCGCCGCCCACCGTGGAAGGCTCGTTGAACGCTGTCGGAGGCTTGTTTGAGGCGTCTGCGCTGTCGGGTTTCACGAAAAACGGCACCAAGGGGTTTGCAACTGAAGAGGAGCTTCTCGCTGATCCAGCTTATGTGAATTACTACTATTCCAATGGTAATCTCAATCCACGGCTTCCGCCGCCGCTGCTTTCGAAGGAGGACTGGCGTTTTTCCCAGCGGTTGCAAGGCGGAGGTGGAGGTGGAGGTGGAGGTGGAGGTGGAGCTTCGGCAGTTGGAGATAGGAGGATAGGGGGTAGGAGTGGCGGTGAAGGGTCACTTTTTTCTGTGCAGCCGGGGATTGGAGGGAAGGAGGAGAATGGTGTGCCGGCGAGGAAGGGTGCGGCAGAGTGGGGCGGTGATGGGTTGATTGGGTTGCCGGGGTTGGGACTTGGGAGTAGGCAGAAGAGTATTGCAGAGATTATTCAGGTGAAGTGTTTGTAAAGTTTGTTTTTTGAATTGGTTTATATGATAGCTTGTTATCTTGAATATACAATGTTTGTTTGCGTTTGGAAGTATTTTATGTATTCATGATAATTTTCGTGTGATAAGCTTAAGCTTACTGGAGTATTATGTGATTAGATTTCTTCTCTAATTTTGTGTTTTACAAAGGTTTGATCTTTACGTTTCTTCGTTGATTTCTCGCTTATATTTTGTGTTTATCATTATATGATTTACTCGATATCTAGCTCAGCTCCTCTAAGTAGGGTGCACCTTTCGATTATCCTAATGAAGTGGAACAAGTCAATGTTTAGTGCCTTTGACAGTGGTTTCTCTGAATTGTTAGCTGATGAGACTAATTCCATGATATGGAGGTGTTCGCTGGCATGAGAAATTGAACTAGTTCTCCTGACACTGGTTCAGTTTTTTTTTTTTTTTTTTAATAATTATCAACTTATCTGCTGTAGACACTAGACACTGATATTGAAAAGTGGAATTTGTTTTTCAGTAATTCTTTTATCTTGCCTATTAACTATAATTTTAACTCTTTGCATAAATGTTGCACCAGTAAAATGTAAAGTTAATTGGAATGGAAACTGTTTCTGCTTAAGGTATTTCGATGTATTTTCTTGGTTTGTTGGCAGATTTGCTCCTGTGGTCTTTTTGTTGTACGCTTGTTTTTCCTGGTTAAATTTCATTGCCTGCGACAACTTTTGCAAAATAAAATTTGAATTTGTTTATAAGATCTGCTGTCTAAAACTCTTGATATTTCAATGCAGGATGATATACATAATACAAATGGCTCAAGGCACCCTTCTCGTCCAGCTAGCCGGAATGCTTTTGATGATGGTGTTGAAGCTTCAGATACCCAGTTTGCTCATTTACAGGGAATGTCAGCTGTTCAGAACGGCGGTTCATCTAGTTCTCATACATATGCTTCTGCTCTGGGTGCTTCATTGTCGAGAAGCAACACACCAGACCCTCAGCTTGTAGCTAGGGCTCCTAGTCCTCGAATTCCACCAGTTGGAAGGGTTTCCTCCATGGATAAAAAAATTGGCAATGGTCAAAACTCATTCAATGGTGCCTCGCTTGATGTGAATGAGTCTGCAGATCTGGCAGCTGCATTATCTGGTATGAACCTGTCAACAAATGGTAGGATTGATGAGAAGAATCGTGCACGCTCACAAATGCAACATGAAATTGATAATCACCATAACCTTTATGACATGCAAGGTGATTGGAACCATATTAAACAAAATTCGTACTTGAATAAGTCTGATTCTGGGAATTTTCATCTGCATTCTGCTTCCCAATCTTCTAACAATTCTTATCAGAATATGGGAAGAGGCAGTGGATTTGGTAGGGATCTGAACAGCCCTTCTTATATGTCTGACGATCTAGTTGATATTAATAATCCTGCTGTATCTTCTGGTAACTCATACTTAAGAGGACCTGTGCCAGCTCTTAATGGCCGAGGAAGCTCACACTCCCACTATCAGAATGTAGACAATACCTCATTTCCTAACTATGGCTATTCTGGTGGTCCTTCATCTCCATCAATGATGGGTAGTCCACTTGGTAATGGTAGTTTACCACCCTTATTTGAAAATGCTGCTGCTGCATCTGCAATGGGTGGCTTGGACTCTGGAGCTTTTGGAGGGATGTCTTTAGGACCAAATCTGTTGGCTGCGGCTACTGAATTGCAGAATATTAGGCTTGGAAATCACGGTGGTGGGAGTGCTCTTCAGGTTCCCATGATGGACCCATTGTATGTTCAGTACTTGAGATCAAATGAATATGCAGCTGCACAGCTTGCAGCCCTTAATGATCCCACAAAAGATAGGGAAGGCATGGGTAATACGTACATGGATTTACTTGGTTTGCAAAAAGCTTATTTGGGGCAATTGCTTTCGCCCCAAAAATCACAATTTGGTGCTCCCTACATTGGCAGGTCTGGTAGCTTGAATCATGGTTATTATGGAAATCCATCATATGTGCATGGGATGTCTTATTCTGGAACACCATTGGGTGGTCCCCTTCTTCCAAACTCTCCTGTTGGACCTGGTAGTCCTGCCAGGCATGGTGAGCGGAACTTGCGTTTTTCTTCTGGGTTGAGGAACATGGGTGGAGGTCTGATGGGAGCTTGGCACTCCGAAAATGGTGGAAATTTGGATGAAAGTTTTGCCTCCTCTTTACTAGATGAGTTCAAAAGCAACAAGACTAAATGTTTTGAACTTTCAGAGATTGCAGGGCATGTTGTTGAGTTCAGGTAAATATTTGTCACTGTTTCTTTAAATCTTTGTGCCCTTATGTGTTCCAGATATCCACAACTTAATTCACTCATATAATACCTTGAACAGTGCCGACCAGTATGGAAGTCGGTTTATTCAACAGAAACTTGAAACTGCCACAATTGAAGAGAAGAACATGGTTTTTGATGAAATTATGCCCCAAGCACTATCTCTTATGACCGATGTGTTTGGTAATTATGTGATTCAGAAGGTACCTTTTCCCCTTTAGATTGATTTGCCTTTATGTGCAATTTTATGTATCCTTGTGCCTTAGCATGATCATGATATGCAGTGGTTAAGTGGCGGAAAATAAGTGTTGCAGTTTTTCTTCTATGTCTGACTTTTGCACTTTGGTTCAGTTTTTTGAGCATGGAACTCCAGCACAAATAAGAGAACTTGCAGACCAGCTCACTGGGCATGTGCTGACCCTTAGCCTTCAAATGTATGGATGTCGAGTGATTCAGAAGGTATGTACAGTTAGCTGACTGAACACAGTAATTAATTTTCCATATTGATATTCCTTGCATGTTTTACCATTGGCTTTCATACGAACTCAGAAGGATTACCTTCTACATATTGTATGTGTTGCAGGAGACAGGATACATATCTAATAGAATATGTTTCGGGGTATCCTTGGGAAATTATTTGTCTATAAAACGAACAACTTTTCAGTCTCTTAAGAAAACACCATTTAATTTTAGGTTTTCTCAAGTTTGAATTTCTTGAGCCACAACGGTTTAGCTCATTGTTCTTGTACTACCTGGGAATTGGAGTACGACCTAGTAGATATAAATCATCGAAGATTTTAGAGAGAAACATATGTTTCTTACTTTCATAATCATGTAGATTTTTTTTTCTTTTTTAGTTTTCAGGGAAAATATCAATGGTCAATGATGTTTATCATATCACCATCAAACTTGGCTTTCATGTGCTTTCAGGCTATAGAAGTTGTTGAGCTGGACCAGCAGACTAAAATGGTAGCTGAACTGGATGGTCATGTTATGCGTTGTGTTCGTGATCAAAATGGCAACCATGTTGTCCAGAAGTGTATTGAATGTGTACCTGAAGATGCCATCCAGTTTGTTGTTTCAACTTTTTATGACCAAGTCGTGACACTGTCTACTCATCCGTATGGTTGTCGTGTCATACAGGTTAAGAACCTCACCATTTTCTGACTCGCATTCATTTTGCGTCTGCCTATTAATCATATATGTTGATATGTTGATATGTTGAAGATAAATGGTTATGAATGCAACTAAATGGTATAGTAACTTTGATTTAACAGAGAGTTTTGGAGCACTGCCATGAACCCAAAACGCAGCAAATAATGATGGATGAGATTTTGCAGTCTGTTTGCATTTTGGCACAAGACCAATATGGAAATTATGTTGTCCAGGTTTGTTTCATTTCTAAGAAACTTTTGTCACTCTACCTTCTTATTGTTAAAGGAAATAATTCCACAGTGGTTTAATGGAATCTGTTGTTTAAGTATCAAACGGACCTCTTAATGTAATCAACTAATTTTCTTTGTTGGATGTTATTTTGGTTCTTATTTTATACAGTATAGATGTTCAATTTTGATTTTTCTCTGCACATCCTAGTCTCATCTTAAGCTCAATTTTGTTGGCTCTTCATGCACTTGTGACTTCACTTAAACCAATTAATCAACTTCTGTTTTCATGCTTATAATGCGACTTTTAGCTGTCCATTATGTTCATCATATGGGTGTGATTCATGCCTTTTCATCAGTCACACTTCAATTTAGCCTGGATTTGGAGTGTAAAGGGACTCTTGATGTTAGTGTCAAATATAGCTCTCTGTTTTAAATTGCTTATGCGTTTAGTTGGTTGTTAAAAAATTGGTGGGGTTACAACGGTTGTTACTAATGTTACATTGTCAGTTATTTAGTCTCACACCAATATGTATCTTCAGTTTTCTCTGTTGTTTATACATGATCTCATTTAGATGGAGGGATTGGATAGAATTGAGGAATAAGATGATTTCAGCTCCGCTCCACCCCTCCACCACCAATTTAATGTTTTCATACTTATTTTCTTTGAGCTCTGTTTATACACCTTACTTGGCTTATTGAATGAGTTTATGCACCCATACCTGATTGTTTCCTGATGTAATTTATTAACTGAATACGGTTTTGTTTGCACTTGCAATAAGTCAAAAGATAAATATTATATTTTGTGATGATCTGTGGAAGTATAATATGGTAGACACTGTTGTTGATTGAACGTAATCACATCATTGAACTGTTACTCGGAGAGTTACCTCCCTGCCTCTGGTTTTGCACCAGAGCCATTATGTCAGGTTGATGACATACAATTTTTTAAGAAGAATTGAGTACCTCTTTTATACCTTTGGTCCTTTGTGCTTTGTAAACTTTACTTTCTTTACATTTCAGAATAGGCTTGCAAAAGCTAACTCAGAAACCGTAAAAACAAATAAATGTCCCATAAGCTGATAGCATGATGTTTACTTCAAAGACGTGCATGTAATAACTAGATTCATGAACTTTCTTTTCATGGAACCCGCAAAGGAGTTGTGGATACTTTAAATTGTGGTTTAATTTGGAAACAACAATACGTAGCCTTTGCTGTATACAGTAAACTATATGTTTTATTCTTTGTTTACATTGAACTCAGTTAACTGATTGTATTTACTTTTACAGCATGTGCTGGAACATGGAAAGCCACATGAACGGTCATGTATAATTAAGGAACTAACTGGGCAAATCGTTCAAATGAGCCAGCAGAAGTTTGCGTCAAATGTCATAGAAAAGTGTTTAAGTTTTGGAACTCTTGCTGAACGCCAGGCCCTTGTAACTGAGATGCTTGGTACCACTGACGAAAATGAGCCCCTTCAGGTTTGCTACTTACTATGAAGTTTTTGGTGTGCACTGTTGGTGAATGTATTCTTTTGTTATAGTATAATTTTCTTTCTTTAATTCTTTACTTGTCTCAATGTGCCATCTTCAAATATATTTTACTCTGGTCAAGTTTGCATAGATGTGTTCCTGAACTAAGTGCGAACCCTTTCAAATTACTGAAAAGAGTTGATGTCTCTAACTTTTGGGGGTTTTATGAAAATACTCTTTACAGTTTGAAGTAACTTTTCTATAACTTCCGAAGCTGTTATGATTACTTTTATTATGATTATGCTGTTACCTGAAACGATGGTTACTTAGGTTGAACTCGTGAATTCATTTGAATACTAGTGAGCTCATTGGGTTTACTTTCACGTATTATCTTTGACATGTAACAGTTAACTTTTACCTTAACATTCTCAATGACAGTTTGCCTCATCTTTGCAAATCAATTGCTTTTTTGATGCATCGAGCTGTTTTGACAAAGTATTTGAATCGTGTCTTTAGTATATAATATTCAACAATGTGCTAGTACGACTATTGCAAGCTTGAATTTATTAATGCATGTATCATTTTCGTTTTTGATTAACATTGACTACTTTTCAAATGAGTTCGACGAACACAAACTTTTTAAATTGTGAAGGTTTTTCGTTTTGTTAGTATCAAATTTTCCAAATACTATGGCTCTAGGAAAATGATTTGCCAGGCATTGGTTTTGAAGACGGGTATATGCATGGACTAGGGTCTTTTAATATGCCTTCTTATTCTTGTTCTGTTTGAATTTAGGCGATGATGAAGGATCAGTTCGCAAACTATGTTGTACAGAAAGTGTTGGAAACTTGTGACGATCAGCAACTTGAACTAATCCTTAACCGAATTAAGGTTCACCTGAATGCCCTGAAGAAGTATACTTATGGGAAGCATATAGTTGCCCGTGTAGAGAAACTTGTTGCTGCTGGGGGTACTTTTTCGCCCTTTCTCCTTTGTCATTTCATATCAATCGTACATCTCATAGTGATGCTTTAACACATGATACACAAAAGTAGTTCTGATTCATCGTTTGGGTTTTCTTGCAATGCAAGAAGTTGGTTGTCGTTTCCAATATGAATAATATGATTTTCTAGCCTAATATGTATTGTTATTCCGGCTTCAAGCCTTGGACTTGCTACTGGTGTAACAAACCTGGTTGCCTCAAATCGCTAACAAGGCGCTGAATCTTTTGCAGAGAGGAGGATTAGCATTCTGGCTCCCCAGGCTTCTGCTGCTTAGATGGGGTACGGGGACGAAGTTGTACAGCTAACTGAGGATAATATGAGCCCCTCTATTTCTTTCATGTCAAGTAAAGGCTACGTCTATGTATTGAGATGGATAAGGCGCGATGAAAATAAAGATCATTGGTTGTACTTAAAACTGTACATTTTTAGTTTGAGGATATACCTTAGAGTAGTCACGGCGCAGACGGTGAACGCACCTGAGGCCCCTGCAGAGGAGATAAATTAGTGTACAAGTTTGAAGGGTGTAAAAAGCGAGGCGGTAGTAGAATTTGTGGTCGTGACTGTACAAATGTTTTACCAGGTGGAGTCCTCCATAAATTTTCTTAACGTATGGATTATTTTCTAATTAAGGAACCTTTTTTTCGGACAATTTGTGAGTTGAGATTCTATTCAGATTCATTATGTCATGCTGTTACGATATTTCAAATTTTACCTTTCGCTGTTTCTCTCGATATTTCGAGCACATGATGAAGCTCAAATTGGTGACTCGTAGCGGTCGTGCTTGTTGAACGGCATCGTGAATGTTTTTGAGCTTCATGTCTGTTCTCCCGAAGATCTTAGCCTTTAACTGAGGCTTATATGTTCAGGGAACTGATTTCCGCATTCCGGTCTTCTCCTTAATGCATTCTTCATTGCTTGGGTTGATTGATTCTTCTTTGATGTATTCAATCAACGGTTAGAATAAAGAGTGTATGGCAAGAAAAAACAATTGCGGAAATATTTTCATGTGTTTATTTATCGAGAATGGCATATCAAGAAAGAACGAACGTCTGTTCCATAGCCGCAATGGATTCTAGTTAACCAAATGATATAACTGCAACCATGATACCAAAGCAGCAAAGTAATACATAGCACAGACAATTAGTGCCAAATTGCCAACAATACAAGAAAAACCCACCAAACCTACCCAGAATTTTGCCCTAGAGTTTGGTCTGCTCAAATCAACCATATTTAGGAGGGCAAAACGTTATGACATACCTAGGAGCCGTACAAATCTTAAGCCCTGTATAATCATCAAAGGCATAACTATAAGCTCTAGGACAAATAGCCTTAAAAAGATGCAGCATCATTTCAAAGGGTGTGGCTGGAGGGACTCCGCCGAGTCCCCAGCATTGTAAGAGGCCGGCGCAATCACCTGTTTGGCATATGCCTTTGCCAGTTTTTTCATCAAAGCAGCAGCCTTGCCTCCCCCCTATAGCCTGCCCGACCAGTTTTCGGGGATGTTAAGGACTTGTTGCTCACCGCTCGAGAGGTGGAAGCCGCGTTCCTTGCAGTTGTTCACTACGATGAGTTGAGTCCCATCCGCAAACAACAATGCTATTTGTCAACCTAAGTTTTATAGAAACCAACAAATAAGGAATGTTCAGCGTTCGATTCTCTCCGATGTAACCAAAATTTTTCGAGTAAAAAAGGAGAGAGTACTTGATTACCTGTGAAGGAGAGGGAAATGAGAAAGGAGAGGAGGAAGAAGATTTGATGTGAGATTGGCATTTGTTCATGAGTAATGGAGATGTGAGTTGGTAACTGGGAGGCTCTTCTATTTACATAGTGTGGAAAAGTGAAAAGGGGGTTTCCTTCGTCCTCGCCATCATGGAAGGGAGTGGTAGCTTTAAGAACAACTGCACATGTAATGGCGGTTTGCAAATTGCATAGGTTAGACCAGTTGGTTAGGACATTGCGTCTGCAATTTTTCACTTAAATTAAAGCAGTTTAGTTTTATTCATGTGGATTGGATCTATGAGCCTCTCATGAACGTTGTCTATAGAAAAAGAGGATTGCCTAAGTGAAAAAGGTGGAAGAGAATTTGACAGCACAAGAAAGCACACTTGAAACCAATATTGATTACTCTAGGTTTTGTTTGAGATGATTTTTGGGAAAATGTATATGAATATGTCCCAGGAAGGTTTTGAGAAAAAAATTACATGAAACAAGTGAATTCATTTTTGATAGTGACTTTTTACAGTCAAAAGTTTCGCTTTCTGCTTTCTTTGTTTGTATTCATTAATTCTTTGATTTGTTTAATCCTAAAATTGCAACAAAAAAAAAAACTACATGATAAAAAAACATGAGTGCAAAATCATTTTCTTTTTTGTCACATGTAGCAAGTACATGGTATGAAACAGATAAGACTTCGTAACTAGATGAGCTTCGGCATTTTACTTGCTTAAAATGTGAAAATCATGAATTGAAAAGCGAAACAAGATAATTGATAAGGGATTAACAAATTAATTTGAAGAACTAGATTATTAATGATAATGTGGAATCCACTATTTTTTTTTTAATTCCATACGTTTTCGTAAATACTTAGGAAGTTATTAACTGAAATAATTTCAACACCCGTGTTTTAATAAATGCAAAGAAGTTCATATCAGAATAATTCCGAAACTCTTAACGTAAATAAACATGCCTTAATTCTGTTAGTTTAACTACCATGAATCTCCGGTTCACTCATTTTCCGGGCGGCGGCCGACTCGAGTTTCAAGTACAATCACGGCTCGTCAGCCAGACAACAGGAAGGTTCGGTTTCTCGTTATCTAAAACCGCCTCAACTAAACCTGAGCGGGCCACTCGGTTAAAAAAAACCAAAAAACTAAATAATGGACAAAATAACCGGTTGAACCCAACCCTAACCGGTCCATCCGGTCGCGTCGCCCACGGTTTTATAATCTCCTTCTAACCACCCTAACTCGGTTCTGTTTCCCTTCCTCTCTGTTATCAGAAAGCATTCAAACGAGAAACATGTAAGCTCTCTTTCTCTCTCCTCCTCCTCCTCTCTCACTCTTAATTTTAATTCAATTAATTAAATTTAGTGGATTATTTGAACAATTTGGATGCTGGGTTTACTGGGTTTCTGTTAATTACTAGGTTTAATTCGAATTAAAGAAGAAAGTTCATGTCTTTGTTGTAATGGGGTTTGGCCTTTTTGCAAAAACTAGTTAATTCTCTGAGGTTTTGGTCATGGCTTCTGGTCTGGTAATGGAGCCCGTGCCGATAACGTCACAAAAACACGACCCGGCATGGAAACACTGTCAAATGTTTAAGATTGGGGAGAGGGTTCAGCTGAAGTGCATATATTGTAACAAATTGTTTAAGGGTGGTGGGATTCATAGGATTAAGGAACACCTTGCCGGTCAGAAAGGTAATGCGTCAACTTGTCTGAGAGTTCCGCCTGATGTTCGGGCTCAAATGCAGCAGAGTTTAGATGGGGTTGTGCTGAAGAAGAGGAATAGGCAGAAGCTTGATGAGGAGATTACTAACATTAATCCCTCACCTCATGGTGAGGCAGAACCGATTGCTGTTCAGAGTGATGTAAGTAATGGGGGTCAGTTGATTGGAGTTCCCGAGGCACTTGAGCACAATTCGGGGTTGTTGGAGAATCAAGAAGGAATGACAAGTGGGATGAGTTTGGGGAGAAGGAAAAGGGGGAGAGGCAAAAGTTCTTATGCAGGAGATAGTGCTCTTGTTGTTAGTAATAGTGCTGCTTTAGGTTCTCCAAAGGTGAACAATTTTGTTCACGAGGCAATTGGAAGGTTTTTGTATGATATTGGGGCGCCTCCACATGCAGTGAACTCTGCGTATTTCCAACCGATGATTGATGCAATTGCTTCGGGTGGTTCAGGGGTTGTGCCTCCTACATACCATGATATTCGTAGTTGGATATTGAAGAATTCGGTTGAAGAAGTGAGGAACAGTATTGATAAACATAGGGAAACGTGGGGAAGAACGGGTTGTTCAGTCTTGGTCGATCAGTGGAACACAGAGTCAGGTAAGGTTTTGCTAAGTTTTTTGGTGTACTGTCCTGAAGGAACAGTTTTTTGGGAATCTGTTGATGCATCAGACATTATAAATTCCCCGGATGCGCTTTACGAATTGCTTAGGAGAGTGGTAGAGGAAGTTGGAGTAAAAGATGTGCTGCAAGTGATTACTTGTAGTGAAGAGCAATATATGGCTGCGGGGAGAAGGTTGACTGATACTTTCCCTACACTATATTGGACTCCATGTGCAGCTCGGAGCTTAGATTTAATACTCGAAGATTTTGGTAATATTGAGTGGATAAATACGGTCATTGAACAAGCAAGATCCATTACAAAGTTTGTGTACAATTATAGTGCAGTGTTGAATATGGTCAGAAGGTCTACTTTTGGCAATGATATAGTAGAACCAGGCGCCACTCGTTCTGCTACAAACTTTACAACATTAAAACGACTGGTTGATCTAAAACACTGCTTACAGGTTATGGCTACTTCCCAGGAGTTGATGGACTCCCTATATTCAAAGGAACCGGGGGGACTGGAGATGTTGGACATTATTAGTAATCAGTCATTTTGGTCCTCATGCATGTTGATTGTTCGTCTGACAGATCCTCTCTTGCGAGTTTTGAGAATGGTTGGTAGTGAGAAGAGGCCTGCAATGGGATACGTGTATGCTGGAATGTATCGGGCAAAAGAAACAATTAAGAAAGAACTCGTTAAGAGGGAGGAGTACATGGTATACTGGAATATCATAGATCAACGATGGGAACAGCTGTGGCATTCTCCTATTCATGCTGCAGGCTTCTACCTTAACCCCAAAATATTTTACAGTATCGAAGGAGATATGCATAGTTATATTGTCTCGGGTACATTTGATTGCATCGAGAGATTGGTTCCTGATACAAATGTCCAAGATAAAATCATCAAAGAGCTAAATTTGTACAAGAGTGCTGCTGGAGATTTTCGGAGGAAGATGGCAATTAGGGCTAGAGACACTCTGCTTCCTGGTGAGGGACTAATCTTTTCGATTGCTTTGTTATTTCTAACTTCTGTGTCATGAATTAGCTAGCAATGCCATAAGTACTAGCACATGCGAATAAGCCATTCGATATGCATTCATGCATGCTAAGTCAGATAAATGTTTATGTTCCAATTCAAGTGGTATTTAGTAATTTATAAGCATTTTTATGTATTAGATCAACTCAAGCCTTTGATTTTGTTGAATCCTGGTAAAGATGGAAGCTCTTTGATCTTTTGGGTGTATTTGGTGTAACTATGATGCCGAAGTTACCTTTCTAGGAACAGAAACTGAACTTTTCATCGTTGTGTTCTGTTTTTTGTATTTGAACCTCTTTCTCACACTTAGCTAATTTTATCCACAATGTACTTCTCTTAGCTGAATGGTGGTCAACATATGGAGGAGGTTGCCCAAATTTGACACGCTTGGCAATCCGAATTCTCAGTCAAACTTGCAGTTCGATTGGCTGCAGGCGAAATGAAATTCCTTTTGGGAAAGCACACAACACAAGGAACTGCCTTGAGCGTCAACGTGTCAGTGACCTCATCTTTGTTCATTATAACTTGCGACTGAAACAAATGTAAGCACAAAGCAATACTGTATGGAATTAGGAATGGCTGTTTAAATATAATGGGGAGAAATTCCTTTCCTTTTGCTAATAACAATTTTTGTTTTCGCACAGGGTTGGTAAGAACATCGGACAAGATGTTATGGATCCCATATCATTTGAAAACATTAGCATGACCGAAGACTGGGTTACCGGGAAGGACATGTGCTTAGATGACAATGGGAGTTCCGACTGGATGGAACTCGATTCAAACTCTGTAAGCACAATGCTTCTAGGGCCGTCAAATGATGAAGCCGATGACTTGGGCTCTGGTAATTTTCTACTCGGATGTGGATACATGCTAAAAACCAAATTGAGCTTTGTTCTTAATCACAATGTACACTGATTAACCTTGGTCGATATATGCAGGATTTGACGATTATGAGATCTTTAGTAGAGCGAAAGACGGTGAAGAGGAAAATGTTGAAGACAACGTAGAAAATCGTTAGAGCCTTATCCACGAGTCAGTTATCGATATCAAGGACCTGTGGCTACGAATCATCGCCTTGTTCTTTGCAACCGAGCAGAGGAAGATGTAGTGAAGTAGATGTCCACAAAGGTAGTTTTCAATTTGGAGAGCAGTGCATTGTAGGTGATAATTAGAAGCAGATAGTTTGTAGCAATTAAAATGTTGTGAGAAAGATGTAATTTTCCATTTTAGTCCTCATCCAGTGACTTGTTAATCACAGATGAAATGTAAAAGTATGAGGAAATAGAGAGATGAAATTGTTTACTCTAATCTTGGGTAAATTTAAAAATTAGAGTAAAATATACTTGGTTTCTGAACTTGGACATTAGTTTAGAATCCGTCCTCGAATTTAAAATTCGTTAATTAGAGTTATTGAATGCAATGACGACTTGGATTATCTCTCCTCTCATCCCCTTGGATTCCCTTACGGCAAAGGGCGGATCGCGGCTTTAAAAGAAAGAGTTCGATGGCTTATTTCAACTTTGAAGCTCATGTGCATGTCACATGTCGATGGGGATTTTTAGTTCGATGACGAATTCTAAAACTTCACACGAGGGGAGAGGCAGTGAGAGGCGTATACACCCGGTGACACATATGGCATAATAAATACTGCAACAATTTAATTTTTTAGATTCATTAATCTAATTGTTTTGCTAATAGGATAAATAAATCCTAATCAGAATGGTTGTCATACATCAACGATATTGTCAAAATTATTTAGCTATGTTCAGCGTGCATTATAGAATTTTTGAAAAATACGACGTCTTTTTCAACATGAAAATATTGAATATTGTAGCTGTCTTATGATCTCAACTAAAAATCCATGATCATTAGTCCTTAACTTATTAAAATGTGCAGTTATGGATTTTCTCCAACTTCGTTAAAATTTCTATCAAAATAAGTCACTTGCTAAGTATGTGAGACTAAATCAAAGTGCAAAATGAGAAACTAAATAAAAATATTTACAAAATAGTCCCTCAACTTAACTCAATTGGAGAAATGATTCTTCCAACGTTACTCGTTTTAATGAAAGTTCTGATAGAGTTAACGAAAAAGATCATAACTGCTTCAATTAGATTAAGTTAAAGTTGAAGGACTATAAATTAAAATTTCATTGCAAAGATTTTAATTGAAAAAAAAAAAATATAACTTTACTGCCCTTCATTATTCACATTACAATCTTACTTTACGCTACAATAACCCACTCAGTCAGTATCGGCGGCCTACGACGAGAAAGACACCAGTTTACTTTTCACTTATAACGCTACGCGCCTCCCTGCTTACTTGTACGCGACGCGCCTCCCCACTCGTATAAATGCCTATTGCCTTGTCCCGATTGTGACATCGTTGCAACAACAACGAACGAGCCCCTCTCTTTTTTCTCCATCTTAAAACTCACTCAGAACCTCCACCAACTACGCCGGTTACTTCCTCCTTATCGTGAAAAAGATGTTGGGTTCTTCTTCTAGTCCTTTTGGGCAGTCATCTAGCAGCCCGTTTGGGTCCTTGTCGGAATTTGGGCAGACTTGCAGCGCAAGTAACAATCGTTTTGCTCCCATGCCTTTTGGTTTTGGCTCGCAATTTGGAGGAACTTCTACTGGTGTATTTGGCACGCAAACGGGGAGTTCTGTGTTTGGAAGGACCTCAACTGGTGTATTGGGCATGCAAACTGCAATTGGCGGCCAAACAGGGAGGTCCATATTTGGAGGAACTCCAACTGGTGTATTTGGTTCGCAAACAGGGAGTTCTCAGTTTGGAGGAACTTCAACTGGTGGATTTGGCATGCAAACAGCAATGGGCTGGCAAACTGGGAGTTCTATCTTCAAAGGAACTTCAACCGGTGTATTTGGCCCGCAAACAAGCGGTAGAACGTCAACCGGTGTATTTGGCTCGCAAACAAGGAGTGGAACTTCAACTGGTGTATTTGGCTCGTTAACAAGGAGTGGGACTTCAACTGGAGCTCAATCAACAATATTTAGGAGCACAGCTGCATTTATGGACCAACAATGCGGGAGCAGTATGGTGGCTGTGCCATATGTTGCAACTCGTGAATCTAATGGTGGCGGGAAATTGGTGTCAATATCAGCAATGCCAGCATATAAGGAAAAAAGTCACGAAGAAATCCGCTGGGAGGTTTCTGAAAAAGTGTTGTCGATATCAGCAATGCCAGGATATGAAGAAAAAAGTCACGAGCAAATCCGTTGGGAGTATTATCATCAATTGGGAGATAAGGGCACTTCTTCAGTTTTTAGACAAACCTCATCTCCATCGATCTCTAATCTGTCAAGCTTTGCTCCGGCTTCTACATATGCAACTTCCACATTCAATCTACCTCCATTGATCTCTAATCCGTCAAGCTTTGATCCGGCTTCCACTAGTACAACTTTCAAATTCAATCCCACTGCTCCTTCAGCTGCACCGACAGTGCCAGATGACAGTACAAGCAGCCAAATGGGTTTTAATGAAGCAGCTTCGCCTTCTGTTTCCGTGCCTTTCTCATCTCTGCCAATTCAGAATAACTATGGACAGTTTCCTGCTACTCAAAGCCCTGCAGCTGTACAACCATTACAACTAGTACCCGCTACAAATCCATTTGGAACGCTCCCTCTAGTGCCTCAGATGTCAATCGGTTGCGGTGAAATGATTCAATATGGAATTTCGAGCAAGCCTGTTGTAGACAACCCGCTGCTGCGCCCGTTAGAGTATCACATTTGTTGAGCTCTCGACACCTGACAAAAAGGCGGGTGGTCAGGTTACCTTCAAGAAATTATAATCCAAAGAATGATGGTCCAAGGATCCCTTTCTTTATTAATTAGAAGAAGCAGCAGATAGTTTGTAGCAATTTAAATCTTGTTAGAAAGATTGATATGTTCCCGTCCGGTGACCTGGTTTTCACAGATGATGAAATGTAAAAGTATTCAGAAATAAAAAGATGAATTTGTTTACTTTTATCTTGGGTAAATATTTAATTGGTATTAGACTGGTTTTATATGTTCTAATATTTCATGAAATTAAGTGTGCAAGCTTCTTCTCATATTTTTTGTGTTTTATTTTATTTAGAGAGTTTTAACGAAAAACCCACGATACTGTTCACTCTAACGAAAAACCACAATTTTATACTAAAAAGTCAATCCTAGTACTATTCACTTTACTCTTTATTTTGTCCTTATCATTAAAACTCAAAGTTTTCAAGCCATTTTCATTTTCCTTTTTATTTATGGGAATTGTTATTAGCACTCCTAAAATCTCATTTGACACTCCAAACTTTCTATAATTAGAAAGAAAAATACACTTGTAAGGAGTGTAGAATAAGATTTTTGGAGTGCTAATAACAGTTCTCTTATTTATTTATATACTTTTATATATCACTGAAATTGTGGGAAGTGACAATCTAACACAATCTCGAATGAGAATCGAATACATAACCACGTCATCGATACCTCTGCATGAACTCATGAGACTGGGCGTAACAATGATATACGCTCTAGTACTATAATTACGTGAAGACTGGCGTTATGCGCGGTACATATGAGTCAAAGTTACCTATTGCAACTTGTATGATAGGATTGGCACCTACAATGGATCCAAAGTGAGCATACAGTGCGATGTGCACATCCACGTGAAAGACTGGCCCTGGCTTGGGCAAGTACCAACACCGGTGTAGCAAATGATGAGCAAATAACATAATTATAATCATGCCACAACCATTCAACAATTCTAGTCAATATCATACTATTCATGACCATAAATATAATTAAGGCATCCTCTTATAGTAATCTTACATGTGCATCCCGTAGGATTATTTCATTATTTCCCAACAATAAGGCATTTCTTATAAACCTAAGTTTAATCATGGCAATCATGTAGAGAATTTACTATTAATTGTATATATGAAAACTAAGCAATATATATATATCAAAGAAAAGACCCACTCATAGATCATGTTGTTGAGTCGAACCCGCCTTGTAGCATCGAGAGTCTTTGAGAAGCGTTTCACCTAGAAACGAAACCATTTAGGTAAATATAACGTATTGATGTAATTACGCATTTTCGTACAAAGTACGGCTAATAAAGGAACTATCTTAAAATGGTCAAATTTCGAAAAACGGATGGTGGATTTGAAATCAGGGCATCGAAATACGTTAAGGAGGGTACCCGGCAAATTTTGTAAAAAGTCAACCAAGATGCCCTGATGGTCAACTACGTTAAAACTGTATAATTTCACTAAATGGATGTAAAAAACGCACTTGGGACATCGAAATTAACCTAGGAGGGTTTTCCGAGAAAATCGGAAAAACGTCAACACCAAGAATATTCTAAAATATTTTAGGCCCATTTTAGAATTGGACTAGGTCAGGTAACGGCCCAAGGCTTTGGGCCAGTTGGCCTAAGGTTTGGACCAAAAGAATATGGGGCGGGCTTTTTGGGCTTAAGGGCCCCCCCCTTTTTTTTTTTTCATTTTTTTCTCTTTTCTTCTCCGGCCGACCGCCGGAGTCTGGGGACAATGGGCCGGGAAATTTTCCAGGCTTCACCTAGCTTAGAAACTCAACTAAAACAAACAGTGTAATATACCAATTTGAAGCTCGAAAGGAGAGGAAAAGAAATATACCAATAGGGGATTGTCCATGGCCGGGATTGGCCGGAAAACGGCACGAAGTCGCCGGGTTTCTCGTAGGAAACTAGGCAACTTTCCCTCGTCTTGGTTCCTGTGTCAAAGCATCACCAAAACATCTCAGAATTACCCTAATCTACTCTAAAACGTTGTCCAAGAAGGTTTAGGTTAGTTTCGAGGCTCACCTTCGCCGGAGTTCTCCATTTCATTTGGTCTCCGGTGCGAGGTCTGGAAGTTGTTCGAGTTTGGGTCCTAGGCTCGGAAATAGAGAGATGAGACTAGATGGGGGTGATGGTGACGTGGCTCGCAGGCGAGGTGCGAGTTGCAGTGGTTCCAGGCGTCGCTGGATTTCACTGAGGAAGAAAAGAAGGAGGTCTCACGGGAGAGGGAGAGATGGAGTAGGAGAGGAAAGGTAAGGCGGCAGTTATCTAGAGGAGGAGTAGGATAAGTGAGATTTTAAAAAGAGGAGAAATCTTTAATTGTAACGGAAATACAGATGGTACACTACGTGTTTTTATGTCAATGATGAAAAATTTTAATTTTTAAATTATTAACCTTTTAACACATATAACCCACCATTTATATAAGGACATGTGATGTGTCGAAAAAGAGAGACGGTGTCCCGAGAGATAGGGTGACACGGGAGGGGTAAAGAAATGAGGTGTGGGCCCCACAGGTCAATATAAATTAATAAAATATTTAAAACAACTCTCAAATAATATTAAAATAATAATTTAATAACAAAATAATCTCAAAATAATAATATAATAATTATGAGAAATATATAAAATAATAAATAGGTATTTTTTGCAAAAATACTTTTCAGATTTGTAGTTTCTTAAAATCTTCATCGCAATTCCGATTTCGATTTGGCTTACGCCTACGCATTCCTATTGTCGAGTACTTCGAGACTACAATAAAATAGTAGCTTGTACAAGTCATGAACTGATGGTCAATGAAAGTCAACAATCTCATCTCTAGAGCATGGTTGTCAATTTGCCTATTTAAAATTAATAAAATTGTAAAAGTAAGGACGGATTGTCACATTAGTAGCTTATAAAAAAAAAAATTGGTAATACATGAAATATCAAATTCAATCATGAAGAGATTGCCCTCGTCAAAAGAATCAAAGAAAAAAAATAAAAAACATACCAGATCTTTCCTTACTATTAGACAATGATTACTTAATAATTCAAACAGATGACTTGGGAATAGGTTGGGGAGCTATTCTGTTAGCAAATGATGCTCCAGACTCACTAGTTAACACCGAAATACCGTGTGAATATGCTAGTGGAAAGTTTAAAGAAAAATCTAGGGGAATGGCTGGTTGAGATAATGGAATTTTAGGGTGACAATCTCAAATAACATGAGCTTTAATTTTGAGGGTATTTATGTCAATTTGATTAGATTTTTGGCTATATTTGAAAGATAATGTAAAAACTGACATTTATGAATTTAGGGGTTAAATTATATATACTAAAATTCAGTTGATGAACACTGTTTATTAACAGTGATTTGACCGAAATGCCCCTCTTTTGATCACCGTGGCCCATTGTTTTTTTTGTAGTCAGCACAATGAAATTACGTGTTTACCCCCGCTGTCCACCTGTCGATCATCGTGAAGGTTAGCTGAATTGGGTCTGCTTCAAAACAAACTCCACTTTTGCTTCCATTTCGTCTTTCCTCTCGGAAACATTACCTTCTCTGTCTCTCTCTCTCTTAAAGCACCAACAACACTGTTTGGCTTGCATAGGTTCGTGAATTTGATGAAAATTAAAATGAATTTAAGGAAAGGAGTCTGAAGAAAGCGAAGGTATGCAGATGCTACATGTTGAGATACTTCTGTAAAGTTTACGATCACACTACTTTTGTTGAATATCTCTTATGGCAATCATGCTTCCTTAATTATGTACTACTGCCTTACTCAAGCTTTTTATTCAGTTTTTGTACACTTCGATTGGTTTTTCTGGTTGGTTCAAAATACTTTTGAGATTGGGAGACAACCCAGAAATTCAAATCAGAAAAAAAAAAAAAAAAAAAAAAAAAAAAAAACTGGTCCCAATTCGAAGAAAATTTTAAGTCCAGAAAAAGCTGCGATCCCTGGTGAGTTTTCCGGCCGATTTGGGGTTGATAATTTTGTGATTTGAATATTCTGTGTTTAGAACTGTATATTTGAATTTCGAAATGAGTTTTCTTTGCAAATTTCCCTTTTTTATCTGATCATTTTTCTCCCCCTCAAACAAAATGCAATTTTAACTGTGCAAGGTTAGGAATATGCACCTCTCTTAATTGAATTACATGTTTGAGTATTTAGATTTTTCTTATTTTTTTAACAATTTATGATGCTATTTGTAAAAATTGGTCAGGTAATTTTTTTTAACAACTATAATATCATTTGATTTCAATTCATAATTACTTCTTTTGTTAAATTTAAGCTTGATTGTGACATCCTACATCGTTCAGGGGAGTAATCATTAAATGTATATTTCCATCCTTACCTAGCACAAGGCTTTTTGGGAGCTCACTGGCTTCAGGTTCTGTTGGAACTTCGAAGTTAAGCGAGTAGCGCGCGAGAGCACTTCTATGATGGGTGACCCACTGGGAAGTTCTCGTGTGAGTTCCCAAAAATAAAACCGTGAGGGAATGGTAAGCCCAAAGCAGACAATATCGTGCTACGGTGAAGTCGGGCCCGAGAAGTGATCTGTCCTGGGCCGGGATGTGACAAATTGGTATCAGAGCCTAACCCTGGCAGTGGTGTGCCGACGAGGACATCGGGCCCCTAAGGGGGGTGGATTGTGACATCCTACATCGTTCAGGGGAGTGATCCTTAAATGTATATTCTCATCCCTACCTAGCATGAGACTTTTTGGGAGCTCACTAGCTTCGGGTTCCGTTGGAACTCCGAAGTAAAGCGAGTAGCGTGCGAGAGCACTCCCATGATGGGTAACCCACTGGGAAGTTCTCGTGTGAGTTTCCAGAAACAAAACCGTGAGAGTGTGCTGAGGGTTCAAAGCGGACAATATCGTGCTACGGTGGAGTCGGGCCCGGGAAGTAGTCCCGCCCGAGTCGGGATATGAAATTGATTCTGTTAGTAAATTTTTATACGTTATGTCCAAATACATATATAGTATTTTATACGTATAATTTATTAAGTTTTATAATGTTGCTGAGCATTTTGAGTTCATTCTTTTTGTGTGTAGAGAGTGAAAAGGGCACTGTTCACAAAGGCAAAACAAGGATAGCTTTTACATATTGGAAGAAGAGAGGTTAGTTTGATCGTCATTTCTTTTTTGATTTGCTTAAATCGAAGTCGACTTGCATCTAATTCAGTCGTTTGCTTGCACAGGTTGAAATCACAAGCTTTATTAATGGTGGTAACCGAAATCAACCCAAGTTCATGTTAAAACGATATCATAATTTTTGATATGATGAGAACTGAGAACTTAGACCATTTTTTTATCTTTTCCATTTTTTGTAATTTAGAAATTGAATTACTTTTCTATACCTTTTTGTGATCATGCACTGAGAATTTGTTAATTGTGTTAATATATATGAGGTAGGATTTATACTTTCTAAGATCCATTTCTCATGTTTAGCGATTGCTTGGTTTTGTATTGTCAAATAGTTTATGAATTTCCATATTAAGCATGTCAATATGTTGTTGCAATAATTTAATTAGATGTGATATATGTTGATGTGTTTATACCTTTGAAACATAATTTTTCACATAATTTCTAATCCCGCAACAACGTGCGGCCAAAACTTTCTAGTTTTGACTATAAATGATAAAAACTTCTATGCTATTGTATTTCATAGTAAGTTTTTTTTTTTAGTACCTTAACTTTAAAATCATCAAAATAATTTTTTTAACGGATCGAAATGGGTTATCCATGAGTTACTTGCGTGTAAACCCATCATTAACGAGTTCTTACCAGGCACCCTGATAACGACTATTAGTTATTGTGTTAACTTGAAACCCGTTATTTTCATGTCATTTTTGTGTTATGTTAACAAGTTGTGTAAGAAATTATCAAGTCCAACTGTAGACAAACCCGCTCCTGCGTGTGTTAGAGCATCACATTTGTTGACCTCTCGACATCTAACACAAGTGGGTGGTCAGGTTACCTGCAAGAAACTATAAGCCTAAGAACGATGATCCAAGGATCCCTTTCTTTATTATTTAGAAGGAGCAGATAGTTTGTAGCAATTTAAATGTTGTTAGAAAGATTGATATGTTCCCATCCAGTGACTTGGATTTCACAGATGATGTTATGTAAAAGTATTTAGAAATAAGGAGATGAATTTGTATTGGTTTTATATGTTCTAATGTTTCATGACATTAAGCGTGCAAGCTCTTCTCATGTTTTTTATTTTCTATTTTTATTTATTTATATATTTTATACCACTGAAAGTTACAATCTAACATAGAACCTCAAACGAGAATCAAATACAGAACCTCGTCGTTGTCGATGTCAAGTAAGATATAATCAATGATGCGAAAACTTGTATAAACACAATGAATTTCAAAGATGAAAAAGGAAGATATAAATGCAGGTCAAAGAAACATCATTTACCGGAATATATTTACAAGTCGCAAGCCAACAAGGTGTGTCACAAAAATCAAATTTACATACATCAACGCAGAAATACTAATATAACTATAAACATACAAAAGAAAGGACAAACAAGCAAAATACAAAAGGGAAAAAGAGGGGATTGTCACTCCTACATAGGAAAAACTTGAGCGTAGCTGGGAATTTTCCGCCCTGCCTCTATCTCTGACTTGATGTGAGAGATAGAGACATGGCGGATAAATCCCCCATTACACACTAGAATCCTCGCTAGCTTGGGTACCTGTCACTACCACATCCACGACTACCAGATACTAAGGGAGGCGAGCCAGAACAGCCGTCGAAATCAACATCCGCATTATCACAGGACCAATCACTTGCCTTCACAAAACCTGATGATGTGGGATAAGAATGCACATAATCCTCGAACTCAACACCCTTCTTCCCATCATAAGCCCCGGGAGACGCCACCGTGTCCGGCAACGCTGCCTCACCCTCCAAGTACCTCACCACCTGCCTCATTGTGGGCCTTGCCTTGGGGGAATTATTTGAGCACATCAGCCCTAGCTTCAGCACCACCACAGCCTCCAGATCATCAAACTCATCCCCCAATCTGGGGTCCACAACTTCAAGAATTGCACCAGCTTTCCACTTCTCCCAAACCCAATCAACCAATATCACCTCCTCCGGCAGGGCTTTTTGTTCAATGGGTCTTCTCCCACACACCAGCTCCAGCAGGAGAGCACCAAGAGCAAACACATCCGAGCTCGGAGTCGGTTTTCCGGTCCGAGTCAACTCCGGAGCGAGGTAACCCAGTGTCCCAACAACCCTAGTTGTTGTAGGGTTTGCTCCATGCTCATACAATTTAGCAAGACCGAAATCTCCAAGCCTTCCATTCATCTCAGAATCCAAAAGCACGTTTCCTGCTTTTATGTCCCTATGAATCACAGTCTGCTCCCAACCTTCGTGCAAATACAATAAGCCAGAAGCTACATTTTGAGCAATCTTGAACCTCTGTTCCCAGCTCAAAATTGCTTTTGGGTTCTCAAATAAATATTTATCCAAGCTCCCATTAGGCATAAAATCATACACAAGCAACAAATCTCCGCGCCGGCGACACCACCCCAACAACTGCACTAAATTCCTGTGCCTGAGACGGCCAATGGTAGCAATTTCCGACACGAATTCCTGCAGACCCTGCCTCGACTCGTGCGAAATTCGTTTAACCGCCACTTGCGTTTCCGAATTCCGCAGTGTCCCTTTGTAAACTTTACCAAATCCACCAAACCCGATCACCTCTTTATCCCTGAACCCTCTGGTGGCCTGCTTCAGCTCATTGTATCTGAATCTATGAGGCCCAATGTCGAGCTCCCACGGCTCGATCACCTCGGCGTTCTTGATCCTGTGAACAATGTAGAAGCCCAATCCGGCGGCCAAGATAAAGAAAACAAGAACAGAAAGAGAAACGCCAACGATCAACGCTGATGAATGCTTCTTTTTCGGGCCGGGAAGTTTAGGCAGAGCTTCTAAATCCAGAGATTTGGCTTCTCCGTTCATCTTAAAGCTCCAACCGGAGACGTAGTGGGAGCTGGCGAGCAACCCGGTCGAAGCAGAGAACCCAACGTACATAAAATCTTTCAAAATTGGAGAAAGATCGACATCGAATGTTAAAATCGGGGATTTGGGTTTGATTGAATCGGGTGAAAGCATGACAGTGACTTGATTTTTCACCGAATCGTAGTCTACCCAGGCCTGGATCGGCAGCCCACTCTTGAGCTTGAGGTCCTCCTTCGTCGAATTTCCACCGCTGAAAAACCCGGCTGGGGTCGATTTGTTGGAAACCAGGCTGTTGATATCGATTCCGACATGGTTGTCGTTGATGTCCCCGAATTCGAAGTCTTGGACTGTGTCGAATTCGACGGCAAAGATGTGGTTGGAGAAGTTGCCGACGACGGTGGCGTTGAGGATGCCGAGGTACTGGCTGGGGAGGGATCCCGGGAGCGATTTCGAAGGCGAGATTATGAAGGCAAGGCCGTGGCCGCCGAGCTTTGGGTACTCCGGAACGATAGTGAAGACGAAGGAGGTGGAGAAGGAAAAGGCTTTGCCGTCGGTGGAGTTTTTGAATCGGACTGGGGCAGAGTAGAAGGCGTGGCCGAGGACTCTGGGAGTGTCGTCTGTGAGCTTGAGCATGCCGTTGGACGTGATTGCCGCGACGCCGTTTAAGCTCAAGTTGCTGCTGTAGGCGACGTCATAGAAGTCGTTGAAGTAGAGCTCTTGGTCGAGCTGGGATTTTGCTGGGTTTGCGAGGAAGAGGAGGAAACCCCAGTAAAGAACGAACATTTGGTATGCCATAGGAAGTCAAGGTCGAGTCCTTGCTGAGTCTTTATTAAGCACGAGAAATTTTTTAACTGCGGTAGGAACATAAATGGTACATCATATATTTTAATAAGAATGGTGAAATATTTTATTTTTTAAGTTATTAATTTTATAACATACATATATCATCATTAATTACATGTAATGTACTTTTGTACTAATTATATTAAAAAATCTCTCATTAAGCACATGACAATGGAGTTCAATATATTAACTGAGCTGGATTAGTACGATACAGTGTCGAGTACTTAATACTACAGTCTAATGGTATTTCCATTGATTTGTAAATGAGAGGTCTTACATTTGATTCTTTTCAGAGATAAATTTAAATTATATTATTGTTAACTAATTGTAAAGGTTAACCTAACCACTTCTCCTTTGGTATATAATATCTTTGTTAAAAATATAAAACTGTTCAAAATCTCTAAGGAAAAAATAATAAAAAACTTCAGAAGACTTAAATGCCTTCAACTTCTGTGAGGCTGTGAGCTCCTGTGATGTTTTCTCTCCGTACCCAGTAAATTAGTAATTGTAAATTTACATATGCACTTGGAAATTTTTATCAGAATTTTTATTGGCATTTCAAATTTCTCATTATATATTTTAAACTTTCTATATTTAGAAAAAAATACAATGTAGAATGAGATTTTTAAAGCATTAATAACACTTTCCATTTTTATATTCTTTATTTTTTATTTTTTATTTTTTATGCTTTTTTTTTTTACTTTTAGAGTTTTAGATCTTGATTATTTCCACATTTTCCAATCCAATGTGTAGAAATAACAGTTTTTCGTTTTGTTCGTGACGTATTTTTAACGGCACCTGGGGGCGGCTCAATTGGGTTTGCGGAATAAAACAGTCGGTGGGCCAACAGTTCTTATTTTTCGGCGGGTCATTGGGTTAGCACGTGTGGAGTGGGATTCTCTTATCTTTTATTCTCATCATCTTTTCTTATCTCCTCTCAAACTTCGTTTTTTATCTTAGTGTTTTTATAAAAAAAATTAATATAAAATGTTAATATGATTTAATCGTAACCATTCAAGTAGATGAGAAAGAAAAAAGAGAGAACTCTCATCATCTTTTCTTATCTCCTCTCAAACTTCGTTTTTTATTTTAGTGTTTTTATAAAAAAATTAATATGAAATGTTAATATGATTTAATCGTAACCATTCAAGTAGAAGAGAAAGAAAAAAGAGAGAGCTTACGTGACGAGAGAATCTACCTCTGGAGTAGAGGACTGGATTGAATTTGTGATGGAGGACCCAATGGTGAGCTATCACCTCACCTCGTCAATCTAGAAAATGGTTTGAATTAAATTAATAGACTTCAGATCAAATTTTTACATCAGAAAATGTGAAAGTAACAAGAGATCAAAATTTTAATTAAATTTGTAAATTAAATGATGTGTTATAAATAATAAATAAGTATGTTAATTAACATTTAAGTACTAATTCAATCATTTTCAATCACATCATTTATCTTACAAAATGATTAGATTTGTATTTTTTAAAACCGTTCAGGTATTGGTGAAGTGATAATTCTCTTTGTACTTTGTAGAGTAAACCCTAGGTAAGACCTTAACAATCATTTTCACACAAAAACACAAAGAAGTGTACCATGAATTAGAGGCGTCGCGACGCACGTCTCTTTTCAAATTTATTTATATCTTAATATGACTTATTTTTAGCTACATCTTTTGAAACTTGATTTTAATCTTACTTTACTCTTTGTAACTCAAAAATTGCCACTTTATTCCTTAAAAATCAAAGTTCACTTCACTTTGCCCTTTTGAACTCAGTTTTGATCCCATTTACCCCCTGAAACTTAAAAGTCGTCTCTATAAAATCAAAATTCGCTCCACATTGCCTTAAATCTATTAATTTCTTATGTGGGTTTGATATAAGTGCGCCAGGCTAATCAATTTCTTTTTTAATTTTTTTTTTCATCTCTTTAATTTATTTTAAATTTAATATTCTCTAATTGTTGAATGTTAACTCATAATAGAGATTTATAATCAAATTTATTGGACTTGTGACATCGTCTTTGGTCCCACATATGTTTTATGAGGCGTCATATAAGTTTCAGAGAGAAGAGATAATTCATAAGTCAAAATGGAAAAAATTTTGAGGTTAGAAAGTAAAAATAAGCCTCTTAATATTAACAATGGACAATTTCCTGCTGTTCAAAGCCCTGTAGCTATACAATGAGTACCAGGAATACAAATAGTACCTGCTAGGCTGCTGCAAATCCATTCTGAATGCTCCCTCTAGAGAGGCCTCAGATGTCAATTGGTTGCGGTGGAACAATTCCATATGGAATTTCGAGCATGCCTGCTGTTAGATTTGGCATTCATGTCGTATTTTTTGTGTTCATATAATTTTCGTATCATATTTGATATCTTAATGAGATATATCATGTAATACCAGTTAAAGTAAACAAGTAATATGATCCAACCTGAACTCGTCCTGTTAATATTAACGGGTAATATAACCGACTCGTTATCCGTTGTAAAAAATATATTTGAAACCAACAAATAATCAAATGAAAAATATAATGCTAAATTAGTATATACATACCACATTATCACATAAATATTACTTCAAAACATAAAAAAACATTTGATGTGACATCCCACATCGCCCAGGGGTGATCCTTAAATGTATATTCCCATCCCTACCTAGCATGAGGCCTTTTGGGAGCTCACTGGCTTCGGGTTCCATGGGAACTCCGAAGTTAAGCGAGTAGCGCGCGAGAGCACTCCCAGGATGGGTGACCCATCGGGAAGTTCTAGTGTGAGTTTCCAAAAACAAAACCGTGAGGGTGTGGACGGGGTCCAAAGCGAACAATATCGTGCTACGGTGGTGGAGCGGGCCCGGGAAGTCGTCCCACCCGGGCCGGGATGTGACAATTTGGTATCAGAGCCAGTCTCTGGCCGGAAGTGTGCCGACGAGGACGTCGGGCCCCTAAGGGGGGTGGATTGTGACATCCCACATCGCCCAGGGGTGATCCTTAAATGTATATTCCCATCCCTACCTAGCACGAGGCCTTTTGGGAGCTCACTGGCTTCGGGTTCCATGGGAACTCTGAAGTTAAGCGAGTAGCGCGCGAGAGCACTCCCAGGATGGGTGACCCATCGGGAAGTTCTCGTGTGAGTTTCAAAAAACAAAACCGTGAGGGCGTGGTCGGGGCCCAAAGCGGACAATATCGTGCTACGGTGGTGGAGCGGGCCCGGGAAGTCGTCCCACCCGGGCCGGGATGTGACATTTGACTTTCAAGTATTACATATATGTTAATTAATGTAGAAATGTGAAAAATATTAAAAAAATATATAAAAGCTCGTAATGACAAGTTTTACAACTTTCATGAAGGGTTCAATTTCGAAATTGCAACTATAATTATATAATTATAAATCAAAATTTAACCGTTAATTATCGTTTACATTTACGCTCGATTATTCTCATCAAATTTTATTTTTTCATATTTTCTGTTTGGAAACATGATATTTTAGAGGATCCATGTAACCATCTGTCCCGAATTTTACAGATTTTGGAGCAAAAGTAAATTGGTAATTTCAAGTAGGAGAGATATTTTTGTCATGTTTGCTTTTTGCACTTGTTTGGTGTGCCGGTGGGGCCCACCTCTGTTTTTGGTCCCCGGCTCTCTCTCCCGGTTTCCCTCTGTTCTCTCATTTCTCTCCTCGTAAGGCTGTCACTCTCAATCTTTCTCAACTACTTCTCTATTTCATTCTCTGCAAACAGAGACCGTACCACCACCACAACTCGCCGTTCTAGCGAGCTCCTTCGCCACCACCACCACCTTAAGACCTTCCCAGTCACGATCTCGAACCCAGGCCAAGGCCATGGCACTCCACAGTGGCAGAGGCCATTGTTCATTTCCTTACCCCGACGAACTCCAGCGAGCTTCCATCATCGTCGACGAGGTAAGCGTCGGGACACCTTCTTTTTTCTTCCTTTCGTTGTGTACGATCACATTTATTCCACGAATGGTTGATGTGGTGACGTGGGGATTCAGATGTAACTCCGGGAAGGCTTTCCTAGTTTTCACGCGAGAACCCGAGACTTGCAGGCCGTTTTCCGACCAACTGCGGCCACGACACAGCTCCAAATTGGTATGAACCTCTTCTTCTCATTCTTCCCTACGCTATATTGGACTCCGTGTGCAGCTCGGTGCTTAGATTTAATACTCGAAGATTTTGGTAATGTTGAGTGGATAAATACGGTCATTGAACAAGCAAGATCCATTACAAAGTTTGTGTACAATCATAGTGCAGTGTTGAATATGGTCAGAAGGTCTACTTTTGGCAATGATATGGTAGAACCAGGCGCCACTCGCCTCGCTACAAACTTTACAACATTAAAAAGACTGGTTGATCTAAAACACTACTTACAGGTATGGTTACTTCGCAGGAGTGGATGGACTCCCTATATTCAAAGGAACCGGGGGTACTGGAGATGTTGGACCTTATTAGTAATCAGTCATTTTGGTCCTCATGCATCTTGATTATTCGTCGAACAGATCCTCTCTTGCGAGTTTTGAGAATGGTTGGTAGTGAGAAGAGGCCTGCAATGGGATACGTGTATGCTGGAATGTATCGAGCAAAAGAAACAATTAAGAAAGAAGTCGTTAAGAGGGAGGAGTACATGGTATACTGGAATATCATAGATCAACGATGGGAACAGCTGTGGCGTTCTCCTCTTCATGCTGCAGGCTTCTACCTTAACCAAAATATTTACAGTATCGAAGGAGATATCCATGGTGATATTGTCTCGGGTACATTTGACTGCATCGAGAGATTGGTTCCTGATACAAATGTCCAAGATAAAATCATCAAAGAGCTAAATTTGTACAGGAGTGCTGCTGGAGATTTTTGGAGGAAGATGGCAATTAGGGCTAGAGACACTCTGCTTCCTGGCGAGGGACTAATCTTTTCGATTGTTTTGCTATTTCTAATTCGTGCATGCTAAGTCGGATAAATATTGTTGTTCCAATTCAAGTGGTATTTCGTAATTTATAAGCATTTTTATGTATTAGATCAACTCAAGCCTTCGATTTTGTTTAATCCCGGTAAAGATGGAAGCTCTTTGTTCTTTTGGGTGTATTTGGTGTAACTATGACGCCGAAATTACCTTTCTAGGAACAGAAACGGAACTTTCATCGTTGTATTCTGTTTTTTGTATTTGAACCTGTTTGAACCCGATTTTACACTATTGGCTCGTGCAATCAAGGCCGTTGATGAACCTAGCTCTCAACCGTTGGATAGCAGAATAGTTAAGATAATTATTATCGAAGGATATATTATGGTTTTAATCATGATATTATCCTTTGATGGTGAATTATCTTGATACAAGATAGATGAGATGCAAACTATATCTCAAGCTTTGGGACTCTTATCTGGTTAAACAACAATTTGCGTGCAAATTAAATGTTCGTCAGATAAGAGAACAAAGAGGTACAGATGAGATTGAATGGGTGTTTGACTGATGCCGTGCAAAAGTTGGATGGCATATGCTTTTGTCTTATCATGAAGTCTGTCAAATGATAAGTTTGATGGAAGGTGGTCTTTAAAGTATCAGATTATATTGCGATTAAAGGTAATTTATTATGTATGTATGGTTGTACCTAGACCGACATGGTGGAAAAAGAGAAGTTTTAGTTGGAATAAGTCGCATTCGTTTGGTCAGGCCATGCATGTGGAAAGATATCTTTATATTTTCAAGGAAAATTGGGGGATATTGGATGGCTAAGGCGGTTCCACACAATCTAATGGTTCAGAATCAACATAGCAGGTGATATTCTACAAAGTTAGAGAGGCGATTGGACTTTACAAAGTTATCAGGCTGTGCTAAGCAAAATACAGCCACTATAAATACAGAGTCGCAAACAACATTAAGACCCCCTCCAATTCAACACACAAACTGCCTTGCGCAAGCTCTCGCTCTACGCGAAATCTCTCAACAACCTTGAGATTTTCCACCAACACATTTTCAGTTTGGATAAACAGCACTGTGAAGGCAATCGGTGACACCTTCGGTTTGGATAAACAGCACTGTTGCTGTAGAATCAACCGTCGACGGAGCACCTTCAGTTTGGATAAATAACATTGCGTCGAGGCCGACTGATTATCTATCCAAGTCTCGGTCGAGAGGGATTTTCGAATCCTTATTGGTAGAGGTCATCTCATTAGCTTTCTCGGTGAAATGAGGTGTCACAGGTTATTACATTCGGTACATTGAAAGCCGAATTTGATATTGAACTTCGTAGAACTAGCAGCCTTGTCTTTAGGCTCTAGAACTCGAAGGCCAAGACATGTTCTTTCCTTTGCCGCAGTCGCAAGATCAAGAAGTCAACAGTGCACTCAACGCGATGTCAACACATTTTACTCCTAGGTCGAGCTCGGCCGACGAGTTGGCACTCCCTGCACACAATTGAAGGACGTAGTTAGTTTATTAATTACTCGGTCTGCGTGCCACGTAGGCTTGATAGTTTTTAGGGTCAACATTTTGGCACGCTAGTAGGACCCTTGTGCTAAAACTGTGAAGTTCATATGATATATCAAGACGTCAATTCGGCTCCACGTAGCCGATTGTACGAGCTCCTAAAGCAATTGGAAAATTGCCACAAGGAGAGAGCAAAACTGTTTGAGAAGTGGCATAGAAGATGGGAGCAATTTTCTATTCCGGCCACAATCAAATTTCTGCCTAGGAAAATTGTCAAGACGGCTGAAGAAATACCTAGGCCACCTGTTGTCTCGGTCGAAACTGAAAGTGTGGTGGCCTAGAAGGAAAAGTTCAAGTTTCTGAGCCAAAAATCGACTCAAAACATGATTCGTCAGATGAGTGTTCCAATGACGAACAGGACCGATACACGGTTTTAGATGAAAAAACCACATCAATTGATATAGTCATTGGAGACATAGGCCTAGTCAGAAAAACCACGCCAATCGATATGATTATTGTGATAAAGCCGATATGGAGAAATCCTGTTCGACTAAGTTATTTGAGTTAAAAGCCGAAATTAGCGAAATTATTATGCCTGGGGGGGCATAATAATTGTTCAACACATTCGACGCCCGATGATAAAAAAATCTTTCGTCTAGTCGAACATATTTGAAGATGATCTTCTATTCGGCCTTGGAAAAACTCAAAGTGAAAATTTATAAAAAGATTTCGGCTTGTAATAAAGCATCGTTGGCCTCCTCCTCATGGTTTGGCCACTTTTATTTTTGTTTGCTAAAAAAAAAAAAAAAAATTTCTTAACCATTCGGCTGCTCAGCCGATGCTTAAGAAAATAAAGGGGGCCGAGGAACATCCCATGTGGCACGCCTAGTGGGACATCGAGTAGATCAATTCACACCAGGCTTGTTTAAATCAAGGTCTTATATACTGGGCCAAGGAACGTCCTATGCGGCTAGGACTGGTTCGATATGGGATACTGAACCAAAAACGTTGTCTCGATTCCCAAACCAAAATTTTCAGAATTCCCAATTTCAAGACTGATCCTAAACCAAATTTTCAGGAATCCCGAAATAATTTTGGGCTTTTCAGTTTTTGGGCTATAATAACTTGTCTGTGCTGCTGTGCAGTGTGCAGCCACTCTGCATATCTATAGTTCCCAAGCATGAATGAAGTGATCAAGTTATTCTGTAGAAATAAAATCAAACCAAAATCATTGCATATATCCCCTACTCACAATAGCCAATTTGATCTGCCTATTCTACTACACATGCATGCAACAAAAATAAATTAAGTTACAAATCCAAAAGCAAAAAAATTAATTACAAGCCAAGGTTTCAAAATAAATGAAGTAACAAACCCAAAAGCAAAAAAATTAGTTACAAACCAAAGTTTCAAAATAAATTACGTTACGAACCAAAAGCAAAATGAAAAGTTTAAAGTTTATGAAGATTGTTGGCCTCTTCGGTCCCTTGATCTTGTTGATGGTTGTGGTTGCTCCCTTCTTATTGGTGAAAGACCTCCTAGTGTCAAGTTGCAAACGTTATATACACAAGGTAGCCAACAACATCAAAAGAAAATGACGTGTATTCCCGTTACAAGGATTCCATTAATAAAGTAGGACTGGGACAGTACAAAATGTAATCGAAAATTTTCTTTTCTCCTTAAGCGTAGGACTAACTTCATATATATTCATAAAGAGGAAACACAATTAAGGAGTCATCTATTCATAAAGAGAATTCATATTATTCATATCTAACTAATATACTGATATAAATGCATAAGTTTAAAACAACCTCTGTGGGGCAAGAGGCGAACACGGCCAGGGGTCAACACTCCCTGCTTCATGGGGAAACCTTGCTTGTCGTAACCTCCCATGATCTCTTGAAAACATAGCCCTTAAATTCCTGTTTCACAGATAACAATCAATAAAAAACTTGGAACCAAAAGAAAAACAGAAAAAAAGACCCAAAAGAAAAACATAGCCCTTAATGCGGCATCGAATCATTCATTGATCATTCAAGACAAGATCCTCCTAATTATGACTTAGCCGTTTTCATTTCCTTTTGTTAAAAAAAAAAAAAAAAAAAAAAAGAAAAAGAGTACATTATTTTCTTAACCATTTGGCCTTTTAGGCCAATGCATAAGAAAACAAGGGGGCAACATTATTAGTCGTCGGTGACCATTATTTGCTCCAATTGTTGACCTTGATTGGTGATAGGCCAAGCTGCCATTTTTCTCGACCTCGGTAGTTGAGAGATGCGACAGCTCTCTCATTTTCTACATTAAATAGAATGCATACATGTATGCATGTGCATGCAAGGGACAAGTGGCATGTATGCATGTGCATGCAAGGGACAAGTGGCGAATTCTCCTGCTTAGATTTTCCACTTGACAGAAGTTGGGACTGGTGGTTGCACACTTTTTCAATAAAGCGGTTTCCTCACTTTCCTTTGTCCAAAAGAAAAGAAAAGTGGGGGATTAGAGGACTATCAAAGTATGTGTGTGTGTGTGTGTGTATAAGAGTCGGCCATGGGGTTTTATATTGGAAGTTCGGCTGTCAAATCCAAGAGTCAGGATATTTAAATAGCTTCGGTAGGGTTAGGAAGTGTTAACATGTAGGCCACTTCCTGGTGGCCATTTGGCACCATGCTACATTCTTTCTTGGGACAGATAGGCAGAGAGATTTGATGGTGATTGGTTTTCACTGAATTACAAGACAAAATAAAGAAAAAGTTATGTATATTCGGTGGAAGGCAGTGCATGGAGCAAATATGGTGATATTATTGTGACTCATTCGGTGAAACAAAAAGAAAAGTTGTACTACTCAGCGAGATGAAGAGATTGATACCTTGCACGCTGACCAAAATTGGGGAAGATTTCCCCCGTGAGGTTCCTACGTCCAAACATCGATAAAACTTCTTAAAACCACTTCCAAACATACACTAAGACATGATCTACAACTATTGGACGAGGTTCAAGGCTTACCTTCGCCGGAGGAGGAGAAAACTAGCCGGAGAACTTTGGTGAATAGTGTAGGCTGAGAGGAAGGAAGGGGTTCGGGGTGTTCTCTTTCGATTATAAGCTCACTAGGGTGTTAATGGAGATGTTTAGGGTGTTAGTGGAGATGTTGATGTTGTTGTGGTGTTGTTTGTTGGTGAGAAAAGCCCTCGAATGAGGTTGAGATCGAGAGAGCCGAGAGGGAGTTTAGAGAGAGAAAGAAAGCTTTTTCAAAAAAATAAAAAGGAAGGGGAGTGGGGACTCACGGGTCCAAAAAGAAAAGAGGGGAGAGGGGCCAGGGGGACAAGGATCACAGGTGGGTTGCTTGGGCACACCATTTAACACACAAAAACAATTTTAAAAGAAAAAGATCTAGCCCAAGATGCAAATTTCACGAAAATACTCATTTCGTTCCGATAAAATCGGGACGGGTTGTTACATGGTGATAATTAGAAGCAGATAGTTTGTAGCAATTAAAATGTTGTTAGCAAGATATAATTTTCCATTTTAGTCCTCATCCAGTGACTTGTTATCACAGATGAAATGTATAAGTATTAGGAAATAGAGAGATGAAATTGTTCACTCTAATCTTGGGTAAATTTAAAAATTAGAGTAAAATATATACTTGGTTCCTGAACTTGGTCATTAGTTTAGAATTCGTCCTCAAATTTAAAATTCGTTAATTAGAGTTTTTGAATGTAGCGACGACTTGGATTCTCTCTCTTATCATCTCTTTAGAGTCCGTTGCGGCAAAGGATGGATCGCGGCTTTAAAAGAAAGAGTTTGATGGCTTATTTCAACTTTGAAGTTCATGTGCATGTCACATGTCGATGGGGATTTTTAGTTCGATGACGAATTCTAAAACTTAAGCTAGTTTTATATGTGCAAGTACCCCTTTCACAGGAGGAGAGAGGCAGCGAGAGGCGTATACACCTGGGGACATATATGGCATAATAAATACTGCAACAGTTTAAGTTGTTTTGCTAATAGGATAAATAAATCCTAATCAGAATGGCTGTCCTACATCATGATATTGTCAAAATTATTTAGCTAAGTTCAACATCTGATACACCAGTGCATTATAGAATTTTTGAAAAAGATGTCTTTTTTAACTTGAAAATATTGAATATTTCAACTGCCTTATGATATTTAGAGAAAATGATAATAAATCTTGTTTGAATTAAAGACAAAATTTCAGCGATGGTCCCATAGCTTTAATCCACTTGGAACAATGATGCCTCAACTGAAAATCAATGACCATTAGTCTCTAACTCATCAAAACATGTAGCTATGGTGAACGGTGGGATAAGAATGCACTTATGATGAACGGATACTTCACTTTGATCACGTATCTCGCATCCGATATTGTTAGATACTCGTCTGATATGTATTATGGTTAAGTTTGACTTGATGGATACACATATTCCACATGTGAGATACATGAATCATGCTTTTAGGATACTTCCACACTTTCAAATCAGAAATTAAAAGAAAAAAAAATTAATAAGAGACAAAACTTTATTTTGAAATCTAATGAATATGAAGAACTAACCTCTAATTGAAACTTTGAATAAAACTCTCACACTTCTTCGATATATATCAAGGGAATTAGATTTATCAAATGAATTTGGATGATGAATTCGAATTCTTGTGTTCTCAAGATATGTTCCAATGTATCCTACATTTTAGAGATTTTTCGTATCACCATGTTATGTCGTATCGTATTGCCGTATCCATATCTTCATAGGAATGCACATAATCCTCAAAACTCACCACCCGTTCCACCGCCATCGCTGCCACCATTCTTGCCATCATAAGCCCCGGGAGACGCCACTGCGTCAGGCAGCGCCGCCTCACCCTCCAAGTACCTCACCACCTGCCTCATTGTGGGCCTTGCCCTGGGGGAATTATTCGAACACATCAGCCCTAGCTTCAGCACCACGACGGCCTCCAGATCATCAAACTCACCCCCCAATCTGTGGTCCACAACTTCAAGAATTAAACCGGCCATCCACTTCTCCCAAACCCAATCAACCAAAATCAGCTCCTCCGGCTGGGCTTTTGGTTCAATGGGTCTCCTCCCACACACCAGCTCCAGCAGGAGAGCACCAAGAGCAAACACATCCGAGCTCGGAGTCGGTTTTCCGGTCCGAGTCAACTCCGGAGCGAGGTAGCCCAGTGTCCCAGCAACCCTAGTTGTTGTAGGGTTTGCTCCATGCTCATACAATTTAGCAAGACCGAAATCTCCAAGCCGTCCATTCATCTCAGAATCCAAAAGCACGTTTCCTGCTTTTATGTCCCTATGAATCACAGTCTGCTCCCAACCTTCGTGCAAATACAATAAGCCAGAAGCTATATTTTGAGCTATCTTGAACCTCTGTTCCCAGCTCAAAATTGCTTTTGGCTTCTCAAATAAATATTTATCCAAGCTCCCATTAGGCATAAAATCATACACAAGCAGCAAATCTCCGCGCCGCCGACACCACCCCAACAACTGTACTAAATTCCTGTGCCTGAGACGGCCAATGGTGGCGATTTCCGATACGAATTCCTGCAGACCCTGCCTCGACTCGTTCGAAATTCGCTTAACCGCCACTTGCGTTTCCGAATTCGGCAGTGTCCCTTTGTAAACCTTACCAAATCCACCAAACCCGATCACCTCTCTATCCCTGAACCCTCTGGTGGCCCGCTTCAGGTCGTTGTACCTGAATCTATGAGGCCCGATGTCGAGCTCCCACTGCTCGATCACCTCGGCGTTCTTGATCCTGTGAACAATGTAGAAGCCCAATCCGGCGGCCAAGATAAAGAAAACAAGAGCAGAAAGAGAAACACCAACGATCAACGCTGATGAATGCTTTTTTTTCGGGCCGGGAAGTTTAGGCAGAGCTTTTAAATCCAGAGATTTGGCTTCTCCGTTCATCTTAAAGCTCCAACCGGAGACGTAGTGGGAGCTGGCGAGCAACCCGGTCGAAGCAGAGAACCCAACGTACATAAAATCTTTCAAAATTGGAGAAAGATCGACATCGAATGTTAAAATCGGGGATTTGGGTTTGATTGAATCGGGTGAAAGCATGACAGTGACTTGATTTTTCACCGAATCGTAGTCGACCCAGGCCTGGATCGGCAGCCCACTCTTGAGCTTGAGGTTCTCCTTCGTCGAATTTCCACCGCTGAAAAACCCGGCTGGGGTCGATTTGTTGGAAACCAGGCTGTTGATATCGATTCCGACATGGTTGTCGTTGATGTCCCCGAATCCGAAGTCCTGGACTGTGTCGAATTCGACGGCAAAGATGTGGTTGGAGAAGTTGCCGACGACGGTGGCGTTGAGGATGCCCAGGTACTGGCTGGGGAGGGATCCCGGGAGCGATTTCGACGGCGAGATTATGAAGGCAAGGCCGTGGCCGCCGAGCTTTGGGTACTGTGGGACGATGGTGAAGACGAAGGAGGTGGAGAAGGAAGAGGCTTTGCCGTCGGTAGAGCTTTTGAATCGGACTGGGGCGGAGTAGAAGGCGTGGCCGAGGACTCTGAGAGTGTCGTTTGTGAGCTTTAGCATGCCGTTGGGCTCGATTGATGCGACGCCGTTTAAGCTCATGTTGCTGCTGTTGGAGACGCCATTGAAGCCGTTGAAGTTGAGCTCTTGGTCAAGCTGGGTTTCTGCTGGGTTTGGGAGGAAGAGGAGGAAAACCCAGCAGAGGCTTTGGAATCCCATAGGAAGTAGAGGTCGATTCTTTGCTGGGTCTTTATTAAGCAGATGGCAATGGAGAGCGGTACCAAATATAACTAAAATTTCACCTTTAATTTTAAAAATATCATGTATGTTTTAAAATAAACTTCAAAATCTCTCAAAAAAAAAAAAAAACAAAACAAAACAAAATAAACTTCGAAAGACTTAAATGTTTTCAACTTATGTGGGCTCCTGGAATGTTTTCTCTCCGTACCCATTAAGAGGATGTTTCTTTGGCCCCACTAGCCCTCACTAGACTAGATTAAAGATTAGTGTGGTATGTTGTTTGTTTTCTAGGGGGACTAATTTTAATGGGATAAGGGTGGACTTGCCCTGACTAAATTCATCGCTAAACGGTCTTAGCAAGGCACTCCGAAAACCAGCGGACTGCTAATACCATCGTTGCTCGCATCCTCGTCTTGCTTGATTGCGTCCTTGTATTGCTCGACTTGGTCTTCTTCCTGCTCGATGCATCCTCGTCCAGAGATTCGTGAATTGTGTATCATGCGATTAGAAATTATTTTAAATATTTTTATTTAAAATTAAACACAAATAGTACCTGACAAAAACTGATCGCACGATGTACGATAAACAGACACGATTTACGGATCTCTAGGATTCTCACCGTGACGACCCATCTCTAATTTTCTATGTCATTTCCTTCCCAAGTATGTAAAATGACGATTATCCCCATGTTGGCAAAGTGGAACCTGACATGGACGTTGTTATTCGGCTTTTAATTTAATAGTTCGTTACTATTCATCCAAAGAAAAATCAGATGAATTACTATTCATATGAAGAAAAATCAAATGAATTACTATTCATATGAAGAAAAACGGTTGGGTTACTATAGTATTTTCATTATTCATTTGGGGAAAATTTGTAAAGTGAATAATGTTGCTACAGTAATCTTTCTAACTTTAAAAATCAATCATTCTCACCCACCATACCTACCGATTAATCATTCTCCTTATTTTATTTTACTCATCAATCAAACATTCTTTCTTAGCTTCTCCTTCTCTTTCTCTCGCCGTGTCTCCCTCTTCCCTCTGCAACATAGACACCATCAAAACACTCCTAGCATCCCTAGAAACATGAATCCAACCTAGGGTTTTTGAAAATCAGAGTCCAATTGCAAGTCCTACATCCTCCATTGAAGCCGCGACTTTCCCGGCCAATTTCTCGTCTATTCCAGCCAAGGTGAGGTCTCTAACCACCATATTTGGATTCCTCTCGTTGAGTGGATGAATTTTCATGTATAGATCGTTGATTTTGGTTAAGAATTGACAAAGTTATGGACGTCTAAAGTTTTCCTTTTTTCAGGCGAGTTCCTTAGTTTTTCCGCGGACCAGTAACTTTTCAGGCCATTTTTCGATCATATCCAGCAACCATTGGGTTTCCAAATAAGTATAATCTTATTCTACACTTTCCTAGCTTCATTTTGATATATTATGGGCAAAATTTGGTTAAGAAATGAACCCGTAATGACCATTTGATATATCTTAATATGACTTATTTTTAGCTACATCTTCTGGAACCCGTTTTTAATCTCACTTTACTTCTTGTAACTAAAAAATTGTCACTTTACTCCTTAAAAATCAAAGTTCGCTTCACTTTGCCCTTTTGAACTCGATTTTGATTCCATTTACCCCCTGAAACTTGAAAGTCATCTCCATAAAAATCAAAATTCACTCCACATTGACTTAGATCTATTAATTTCTTATGTCGATTTGATATGAGTGCGCCAGGCTAATCAATTTATTTTTTATTTTTTTCATCTCTTTAATTTCTTTTAAATTTAATATTTTCTGATTGTTGAACGTTAACGCATAATAGAGATTTATAATCAAATTTATTGGACTTGTGGCATTGTCTTATTAGGTGTTGGGTCCCACATATGTTTTTGGAGACGGTATATAAGTTTCAGGGAGAACAGATAGTTCATAATTCAAAGTGAAAAGAATTTTGAGTTACGGAGTAAAATAGTAATTTTTGAGTTACAAAGGGTAAAATGAGATCAAAATAAAGTTTTAAGGGGCATAACCAAAATAAGCCTCTTAATATTAACAATGGACAATTTCCTGCTGCTTAAAGCCCTGCAGCTGTACAACCAGTACCAGCAATACAAATGGTACAACTAGTACCTGCTAGGCTACTACAAATTCATTTGGAATGCTCCCTCCAGTGCCTCAGATGTCAATTGGTTGCGGTGGAACAATTCCATATGGAATTTCGAGCATACCTGTTGTTAGGTTTGGCATTCATGTCGTGTTTTCCATATGTTTATGTTAGATTTGGCATTCCATATGGAATTTCGAGCATGCCTGCGGTGGAACAATTCCATATGGAATTTCGAGACGCCGTTATGTGTTTTTGCAGAATCCGGCTCCACCAGATCGACTCTTTGAGCTGCCCGCCGCCTTCAACGTGTCGCGAGGATTTCACAACACCACCCTCACCACCACCGGCGAGGGAAGTGTGGAAGCTGGATATTAATAAGAGGAGGAGGAGGAGGAAGAATGTGAGAGTGGAGGTGAGAACTTTGAAATCGAATTGGGGAAGATGAAGGGTCTTGGTTTAAAAAATATATATATATATATATATATATATATTATTTTAATATTTTAAATTTGGGTGGGAAATTTTTTTTTTTGAATTTTGAATTTCCACATGGACACGTGGCGTCCAGTCATTGTCCACATGGGCACCATGTCATCAGTTAACAAAAGACTTAACAGCCAGACTAACGGATGTATGAGACTATCCCAAAATTAACACTTTAGGTATGACTCTAGGATGAAAAAAAACTTCATGTACTAAATGTTGAAAACCATGAAACTTGAGGGTAGTAAACTGATATTTACCTTTTTTTTTTTTTTTAAATTAAAAGTTTTGGACCACCTTACTTCCACTCCCTCTCTCTTTCCTCGTGGCGGCTCGTGTGGCGACACATGGGGGAAACTCGAGGTCCCCGAGGTCTTTCGACGTGCCGAATCCGAATTCGTTGTCCGTTTTTCCAAATTTTATCGTTTAGGTATAGTTTTACTAAATGATCTCAAATTATGGTTAGGTGCATCGGTGGGAAGTGACTTCATCCTCACTAGCTCGGGCATTTCCTGGGCAACAAAATATCTGTGAGTGGATCCCTTCTTAACTTGCATGGTTTTATAAAATATTAGGTTTGCATGCATTGCATATTACATGAAATGAACATGTTTCTAATATGTTTTATGGATTTCTACATTCATGCTTTTTGAAGAACTTATGATTTATTTAAATGCTTTTACGAGATATTTAGGACTCTTCGAAATTACGTTTTACAAAAGATTATGAATGATTGGATTTTCTAGGGATTTACGAATATGACTTATTTTACGGATTTATGAGTATGTGCTATCATGGATTGATGAGATAAGGTTTTGAGCTTAGAGCTCCGGATTTTGATATGAGATTTTTGAGATATGTTTTCAGTACGTATCTAGTGGGTTATCATATAACACATCCACACAATATGGGTAAGTAGATGTCTATGGCCATAGGACACAGTTGAGGATATGTGATGTATATTTCTTCTCCGGCGTAACTCGGAGTCGTATAGCTTCACCTTCGGGTGATGGGGCCTACCAAGTTTCTTCATTGGCGTAACCGAGTGTCGTATAACTTCACCTTCGGGCAAATGAGGAGTTGATGATATTTATGCCATACCCCCAGCTTCACTGCTGAAAGCAGTGTCGGATAGCGTTTCATTATCAAAACCAGTGTCAGTGTGTGATGTATATATTTTCTTCTCTTGTGTAAACCGGAGTTGTACATCTTCATCTACAGATGATGGGGCTTACGATGTTTCTTCATTGGGTAACCCAGTGTCATACAGCTTCACCTTTGGTGATGGACATATATTGCCTTCAGGAGACTATGATACCCCTAGAGAGTACATTATTGATGAGATTTACGGATTTGCCTTCTGGCAGTGATAGCACCATTATTGAGCATCATTTTACATGTACATGTTTTACGAACACATTTCATGGTATGTTAAAGTTTTCAGAAAAACCTATTATGTAGTATTATATGTATTTTCAAAATAAGGGATTAGCATGTTCAGAAATAAAATAGTTTTCGTATTATCAATATTATTATAAACTTTGGTCCACTCACCTTTTCGGTTTCGCGTCTCCTCAAGAGTTAGAATCGAGGCACACAATTCCGATGCCAAGGCATTTCTGCTTAGGCATCTTCGAGCCTCCTCTGTGTAGGTTCCATTCCTTAGATCATACCTTTCCATAATAATTCTTTCACATTATTCTTAATTAGCTGTATACTCTGAACACGATTCTGCATTTGTGTATCTCTTTCTAATTAATGTTTTAGTTATATGTGTGTTTAAAATGGCTTCGTCACCCTCGAGTGTCAGCCAGCACATACCTACCTTAATATTTAGGGATATCGAGATTGGGGCGTGTCAATCCGAATATGCCAAGAAGTGTGGCAAAACATGAAAAGATCAAATGCGTCCACGTAAAACTGCGCATAGCCCAACAAAAATATTTTCGTCCTTTTTCAAATTTCAAAAAAAATTTTACACCGTAAATATAAACGCATCAAAGTACTACAATACGGAATGCAGTATTTAAATAGTAAAATTAGAGGACGAGATTTGATAGCAGAGGCTCCGCCTCTACAACTTCCCAAATCTCAACCGTAAATGCTTGAGCGATTTGGATAGCAATTAAAAATAGGATTAACGTCCATAATTTCTTTGATTTCATATTATTGGCGTTAGTTTTTTGCAATTAGGTTTTAACTTACGGTCTTCAAATCGTCTCTAGATCTATTACTTCTAGATCCTCGGGATCAAAACATCATGGTCGTAGATAATAAACCGTGTGGCCCCAAAAATCACCTGGGAGAGGGAGCGGTTGGAATCGCCTGAAATTGCCGAAGTTCAGCTTTAGATACAACTCGAATCAGGTAGGGAGTTCCATTCCACCGAGGCTTCCTCGTTTTCATGTGGTAGTTTCTATGGAGTTCCTGAACCAGAAGGATATGGGAAGCAAGGGCGTTTGCAGCAGAATGGGTGGGCTAATGTTATTGGGAAGCAAGGGTGTTTGCAGCAGCTTCCAGAGGAGAAGAGAGAGGGTTCATTTGATGGTAGATCCATTGATGATTGTTGAGGATTTCAAAACTGCAGGGTTCTTGATGATTGCAGAGGAAAAGGGAAGGAGAAAAAGTGTTGAAGTGAGGGATTGATTTTTACACACGATTTATTACTGACGGCCAGGATGTTTTGATCATGGGGATTCGGTATAATTTATCCGGAGAGGATCCTTATCCAGTGGGAGAATTAAGCTAACACCTCATATTAGTAAAGGAATGTTAGAAATGCCACATAAATTAGAAGATAAAAAATTATTACAAAGTTTTTTAAGAAAACTAAACTATGCAAGGCCTTTTACTCAAAATCTGTTAAGAGAAATATCAAATTCAATGATGAAGATATTGCCCTCGTCAAAAGAATCAAAGAAAAAAAACATACAAGATCTTTCCTTACCATGAGACAAATGATTACTTGATAATTCAAACAGATGCCTTGGAAATAGGATGGGGAGTTTTCTATTAGCAAAGGATGGTCCAAACTCACCAGTTAACACAGAAGGACTCTATGGATATGCTAGTGGAAAGTTTAAAAGAAAAATCTAGTTGAATGACTAGTTTAGATTATGGAATTTTAGGGTGGCAATCTCAAATAACAGGGGTTTTAATTTTGAGGGTATTTATGTCAGTTGGATCAGATTTTTGACTAGGGGTGTGATATCCACACATCCCATTTTACTTCTTACACACCTTTTTAATTTTTGGTCGTCGGATCGGATGAATTAAAGAAGATCAACGGATAGAAATTATCAAGGGGTGTGTGGATAGCACACTCCTTTGGCTATAGTTGAAAGATAATGTAAAAACCAACATTTATGAATTTAGAGGTTAAGTTTTGACTATAAATGATAAAAACTTCTATGCTATTGTATTCTATGGTAAGTTTTTTAGCAGCTTTAACTTTAAAATCATCAAAATAAATTTTTTAATGGATCGAAACGGGTTACCCACAGGTTACTCGTGTGTAAACCCGTCATTAACGAGTTCTTAATGGGTGGCCCAATAATGACCATTAGTTATTGTGTTGATTCAAAACCTGTTATTTTCGTGTAATTGTTGTGTTGTGTTGTGTTAACAGGTCGTAAAGAAATTGTCAGGTCTACCTACTGTAGACAAACCCGCTCCAACATGTGTTAGAGTATCGCATTTGTTGACCTCTCGACAGCTGACATAAAGGCGGGTGGTCAGGTTACCTGCAAGAAAGTATAATCCTAAGAATGATGATCCAAGGATCCCTTTCTTTATTAATTAGAAGAAGGAGCAGATGGTTTGTAGCAATTTAAATCTTGTTAGAAAGATTTATGTGTTCCCATCCAGTGACCTGGTTTTCACAGATGATGTTATGTAAAAGTATTCAGAAATAAAGAGATGAATTTGTACTGGTTTTATATGTTCTAATGTTTCATGACATTAAGCGTGAAAGCTCTTCTCATGTTTTTTATATTCTATTTTATTTATTTATATACTAGCCTTCATGCACGTGCGCACAGCGTGCTATGCGTGACTTACACGTTTTAAATATATTTATATGTGTAAATTGACAAAAGGAAAGTCAAAGATTTGAAATAAATAAATAATCTTAGATCATGCTAGAAGAAACCCCTCATAAACCAGTTAAAGCAGTTGAATTCATATAATAAAATCGGTCTCTATAGAATTTACAATAAGAATAGAGAGAATAATATTTAATGAACAATTGATTGAATCATATTATTGCTAGCCTATTGTGAAGTTAAGCCTACCGTCTCCCCCCCTTAGTGTAGATAATATCATTTGTTAAAAAAAAAAAAAAACAAGCATTTGACAACTAATTTAATCACATTATTATCCGCGTGTGAAAGACCTTTTTATAACCTGCATTACATGCCTCTTAAGATGCTTTGAACATGTTTAAAAATAGAAAAAATAATATTGAATGAACAACTGATTGAATCACATTATTACTAACCCATTAAGAGACTAAGCCCACCCCCCTCTGTCACGATCCGACCCGAGAATAAAGACTATTCATGAGTTAGGGTGTGAGCCACATCTTAGCTATAGAAATAAATTCTACAACCAAGATATGGTGGAAAATTAAATTAAATTATAACGATTACACAATACATCATATAACAAATCTTACATAATAAAAGCTTGAGTTTACCACATATAATTTATTGAATACGCAACGGAAATAAAATATTAGTATACAAAATTAATTCATAACAAAAGTACCAACTAAAATAATAATTGAAATGAGTAGCTCTTACAAATACATAAAATGTATGCAATGAGATGCATGAATGTACTCACTCCCTTCTAAACCCGTCAACCCATAACTAAGGTACCCAAGCCTGCACATCCCATACCATGCCTATACTGCTTGGCTCCAAATATCTTAGAATATGAGTTAACTCCCGTTCATCCCTTAAACCCAATTTTTTGTAATTAAATTCTCAGTTTCCACTTTATTATACAGGCACTTCCCCCGACGCCCAATTGTATATTCAAGCCCTTCCCCCGATGCCTGACATATACATGATTTCATTATTTTATAATCAACCGGTTGTGTACTCAAGCCCTTTCCCCGACGCCTGACATATACAAGGTTCATTATTTTATATTCAAGGCAAACTTCAGCCCTTGAATATCCTAACATCTCAAACACAACTTAACTCTTTTTCCTACTTTACAAGAATGCTTATGTACATGCCATGTAACAAGGATATTAATAATCATATGCTTTAAAACATCTGCAACACTAATCAAATTGTTAGCGACAAGAGTAATATAATCGTAATATTAACAACAAAGTAATAATCTTTAATGTAAATGATAAGCAATATGTTACCAATTCCTCCTTGAGTCAATCCTCCTTTTCCATTAAGTTTCTATTAAAAATGCAGCGTTTTATTAATAAATGGTTTACTCAACTCAAATTTATTGCAATTAAACAAAGGAATACGGAGATTTAAGTGGTTCACCAATTTGGCTACATCCACTACGGTTGTGTTTGTATTTGTATTTCACTAGGTAATGAGGATTTACAAATACATGATAATGACTTAAAAGCCTTGACAAAAATATATAAGAAAAGTGATATGAGAAGGACGGTTTTGCTCTCTTTTCTTCCCCCCTTCTTTGCTCTCTCCTCCTCCTTCCTTTATACAGTGAGTGATTATGTTTCTTCCCTTGAATTCCTTCCCTTTGAAGCTCTATACGTATAGATTAACCTTGTTTGCTTCTTTTCTTCATGAGTCATGGCACATGTGTTCCAATAGCAAGACACCAAGTGTTGTTCTCATCATTAGCCATGATATGTGGTCCAATGGAAAAACAACAAATGTTAAGCTAATCATTAGCCCTAATATGTGTTCCAATAGAAACACACCAAATGTGATGTTAATCATTGACAATAGGATGTTTTCAAATGGCAAAGAGACATGTGTTAAGTTAATCAAGAACTAATGAATATCATGCAAGATGGATGTAATCATCAAAGGCCACGTAAAATGTTCTAACTACAGTAAGTTGTCATCTTCCTCTCTTTAGAGTGGTGAATATCATCCTAATGATTAAGATTCTTATAGGTTGATGAGTAAGCACTTTTAATACCTCAAAGTGTTGCCACCTACATGCAAATAGACTAACATATACATGCTATAGACTCCACCTCTTCACCCTAATTATTAGCTTCTATTAATTACCAACTTCCACCTCATTCTTAGGAGAAAATCAAGCTAACTCTACTAGAAAATTCCCACCTCTCGGAGCTTAACTCTCTAACCCTTTTACACTTCACTAATTAAAGATCAAAAAGGCTAGCAAGGGTAACTTAGTTGCTATTGGCACGAAAAGGGTAAGTAGAAACCCTAACAATCAAACTAATGCATATATACACACACACACACACATATAAGATATATAGTTATTGGACAAAGTTACAAAATTATGACGAGGATGCCAAAAAAAAAAAATAGAAACCTCTCTAGTTGGAGACATTTCAGTATGAAAGTACTTGTTAGGCACAAAAATATATTTTTGTAGTGAAAGAATCCCTACTAACTTACATGTCAAAAATACAAGTTCTTGGACTTATCTATTATATATAAAGCCGGAGGTGTGATGAACAGTGCATCACAGTGGGGATCAGATTTTTGATAGCCAAATTACCAATTTACCCTTGCATAATTTGAAATATGATTTTGGGTAGGCTTTGAATTTTTTTGGCTGAGGGGCATTTTGGTCCAATTCTTTTGTCAGAGTGGGTGACACCAAAGTTTTTGTCTCATGTGTAAAGAATAAAAAAATGAAAGGGAAGAGAGAAAATAATAAACAAATGACAAAGTTGATAGTGCCCACGTGATATAAAAAAGGTCTTTCACACGCGGATAATAATGTGATTGAATAAGTTGTCAAATGATTGTTTTTTTTTTTATGTAACAAACTATATTATCTACACTAAGGGGAGTGGGTGGACTTAGCCTCACAACGGGCTAGCAATAATGTGATTCGATCACTTGTTTATTAAATATTATTTTCTCTATTTTTAAACACGTTCAAAACATCCTAAGAAGCGTGTAATGCCGGTTATAAAAAAGGTATTTCGCACGTGAATAATAATGTGATTAAATTAATTGTCAAATGATTGTTTTTTTTTTTTTTTAACAAACGATATTATCTACACTAAGAATGAGGGGGTGAGCTTAGTCTCACAATGGCTAGCAATAATGTGATTCAATCAATTGTTTATTAAACATTATTTTCTCTATTCTTAATGTAAATTCTATAGAGACCGATTTTATTATGTGAATTCAGCTGCTTTAATTGGTTTATGATAGGTTACTTTTAGCATGATCTAAAATGATTTATTTACTTCAAATATTTGACTTTTCTTTTGTTAATTTATGCATATAAATACATTCAAAACATGTAAGTCGCGCATAGCTAGTAATATATAAAACGAAATTCAAAAAAAAAAATCATCACATTTGAAATAGATATAAGTAAGTGCACACACATTTATATAACCATTTTTTTTTAAATACGGGGTATTACACCCTTCACCTTAGTGTAGATAATATCGTTTGTTAAAAAAAAAATAAAAAAATAAACAATCATTTGACAACTAATTTCTTCACATTATTATCAGCATGTGAAAGACTTTTTTTATAACCGGCATTACACGCCTCTTAAGATGTTTTGAACGGCTTGATGACACCAAAATCACTGTTCACAACATCTGATTAAATCACATTATTGCTAGCCTATTGTAAGGTACTAATTTAAAAAAATAAAAAATAAAATAACTTTACTAATTTATTACCGACACTACGCATCTCTTAAGATGTTTTGAACACAATATTTATGATTTGCCTTTTTATTATATTTTTCTTTCCACTTCACGTGGGCACTATCAACTTTCACTCATCCTTCTATTTTTTTTATTCTTTTTCCACTTATATTTATATTATATTTTATGATAACCAAATTATCCCTACAGTATTTGATATATTATATTGGGCTGCTTTTGGATTTTTTTGGTTGAGGGGCAATTTTGTCCAAATATTTTTGTTGAAGCCATGACCCCAAATTAGGGCTCTGGCTTTATATATAAGAGATTTTATACCACTGAAATTAAAGGAAGTTACAATCTAATACAAAACCTCAAACGAGAATCGAATACAAAACCTTATCGTTAACGTCAAGTAAGATATAATCCAACAAGGTGTGTCACAAAAATCAAGTTCACGTACATCAACGCAAAAATACTAACACAACTATAATCATACAAAAGAAAGAGAAACAAGCAAAATACAAAAGGGAAAAAGAGGGGATTGTTACTGCTACATAGAAAAAACTTGAGCGTAGCTGGGAATCTTCCATCCTGTCTCCATCTCTGACTTGATGTGAGGGAAAGAGACAGGGCAGATAAATCCCCCATTACACGCTAGAATCCCCGCTAGCTTGGGTACCTGACACTACCATATCTACGACTACGACTACCAGATACTGAAGGAGGTGACCTAGAACCGCCTTCAAAATCAACATCCGCATCATCACAAGGCCAAGCAGTTGCCTTCTCACAACCTGATGATGTGGGATACGAATGCACATAATCCTCAAACTCACCACCCTTCTTCCCATCATAAGCCCCGGGAGACGCCACTCCATCCGGCAGCGCTGCCTCACCCTCCAAGTACCTCACCACCTGCCTCATTGTGGGCCTTGCCTTGGGGGTATTATTTGAGCACATCAGCCCTAGCTTCAGCACCACCACAGCCTCCAGATCATCAAACTCGGCCCCCAATCTGGGGTCCACAACTTCAAGAATTGCACCAGCCTTCCACTTCTCCCAAACCCAATCAACCAATATCAGCTCCTCCAGCAGGGCTTTTGGCTCAATGGGTCTCCTCCCACACACCAGCTCCAGCAGCAGAGCACCAAGAGCAAACACATCCGAGCTCGGAGTCGGTTTTCCGGTCCAAGTCAACTCGGGAGCAAGGTAACCCAGTGTCCCAACAACCCTAGTTGTTGTAGGGTTTGCTCCATGCTCATACAATTTAGCAAGACCGAAATCTCCAAGCCTTCCATTCATCTCAGAATCCAAAAGCACGTTTCCTGCTTTTATGTCCCTATGAATCACAGTTTGCTCCCAACCTTCATGCAAATACAATAAGCCAGAAGCTACATTTTGAGCTATCTTGAACCTCTGTTCCCAGCTCAAAATTGCTTTTGGCCTCTCAAATAAGTACTTATCTAAGCTCCCATTAGGCATAAAATCATACACAAGCAACAAATCTCCGCGCCGGCGACACCACCCCAACAACTGCACTAAATTCCTGTGCCTGAGACGGCCAATGGTGGCAATTTCCGACGCGAATTCCTGCAGACCCTGCCCCGACTCGTTCGAAATTCGCTTAACCGCCACTTGGGTTTCTGAATTCGGCAATGTCCCTTTGTAAACCTTACCAGATCCACCAAACCCGATCATCTCTTTATCCCTGAACCCTCTGGTGGCCTGCTTGAGCTCGCTGTATCTGAATATATGGGGCCCAATGTCGAGCTCCCACGGCTCGATCACCTCCGCGTTGTTGATCCTCTGAACAATGTAGAGCCCCAATCCGACGGCCAAGATAAAAAAAACAATAACGGAAACAGAAACGCCAATGATCAACACTGACGATTGCTTCTTTTTCGGGCCGGGAAGTTTAGGCAAAGCTTCTAAATCCAGAGACTTGGCTTCTCCGTTCATCTTAAAGCTCCAACCGGAGACGTACTGGGAGCTGGCGAGCAACCCGGTCGAAGCAGAGAACCCAATGTACATAAAATCTTCCAAAATTGGAGAAAGATCGACATCGAATGTTAAAATCGGGGATCTGGGTTTGATCGAATGCGGTGAAAGCATGACAGTGACCTGATTTTTCAACGAATCGTAATCGACCCAGGCCTGGATCGGCAGCCCACTCTTGAGATTGAGGTCCTCTTTCGTCGAATTTCCACCGGTGAAATACCCGGCCGGGGTTGATTTGTTGGAGGCCAGGCTGTTGATATCGATTCCGACATGGTAGTCGTTGATGTCCCCGAATTCGAAGCACTGGACGGTGTCGAATTCGACGGCGAAGATGCGGTTGGCCAAGTTACTGACGACGGTGGCGTTGAAGATGCCGAGGTACTGGCTGGGCAGGGATCCCGGGAGCGATTTCGACGGCGAGATTATGAAGGCAAGGCCGTGGCCGCCGAGCTTTGGGTACTCAGGGACGATGGTGAAGACGAAGGAGGTGGAGAAGGAAAAGGCTTTGCCGTCGGTGGAGTTTTTGAATCGAAATGGGGCGGAGTAGAAGGCGTGGCCGATGACTCTGAGAGTGTCGTTTGTGAGCTTTAGCATGCCGTTGGGCTCGATTGATGCGACGCCGTTTAAGCTTATGTTGCTGCTGGTGGCGACACCATTGAAGCCGTTGAAGTAGAGTTCTTGGTCGAGCTGGGTTTTTGCTGGGTTTGGGAGAAAGAGGAGGAAAACCCAGCAAAGTGTTAATCTTCGGAATGCCATACGAAGGAATGCTGGAGTCTTTGCTGGGTTTTTGTTAAGCAGATGGCAATGGAGTTTTCAGTATATTAATTGCGCTGGATCAGGTGGGTACACTCAGTGTCGATTTTTTACCAAATATAGCTAAAATTTGACCTTTAATTTCAATAAAATCAGTTTTTCGTTTTGTTCGTGACGCATTTTTAACGGCAAATGTGGATGGGTCAATTGAATGGTAATTGTGGAATAAAGAGTCGGTTGATCTGCATTTTTTCGTTTTGTTCGTGACTCATTTGAATGGTAATTGTGGGCGGGTCATTGGTTCGCGCCAGTTGTGTGAAGTAGAGAACGGGGATTTGAAATTTGTGTTGGAGGACCTAATGGTTAGTTGCCACCAAACCTCGTGAATCATAATACAAAATGGTTTTAATTATTATGAATGTGTTAATGTGTTTGGTTTTTTCAAGTACTTCGATATTTTTGTTTTTTAATATGGTTTAATCTGATTTTTAAGAGGATAAAACATTTATGAGTATAACTGTATGAGAGAGAATAAAATCATTGTTACGTGTTGACTCTAAAATTGACCATATGGCTTTTTATCTATACTAATACTATACTACTTGATTTGAATTTTGGACAACAGTACATGTATAATGATAAGAAGAAACTCTCATAATAAAAATAAATAAAACTTAATTTTTTTACTTATATAGAATAATAATACAATAATATATATTTAATATACACTATTGCTAGAGTTTTTATTGTTTATAGCCAAAATTTTGTACTCTAATTTCACAAATGTCAAGTTTTATAATATCTTTCAAATAAATCGGAAATCACCTTGAACAAACCGAAGTATCCTCATAATAAAACCGAATTACAACCATATTCTAAAACCTGTTTGATCTTTTGCGTTTGTTCAAAATTGGAGACAATTCAAAAGAAAAAAATTGGAGACTTCAGATGTCACGCCCCGATCCCAACATTCATCCAAGATCAACGCGTGATGACCAGGTGCAGGGGCGCGAGGAGATATAAACAAGAGACACAAATGAATACTAGTATTGAAATGAACAATATTTACAACGCGCGCGCAGGGGGGCGGTGGAGGAGGGGGTTGCTGTTTGTCACAAATATACAATTGTACAACAAAGGTAAAGCCCGTAGGCTCCCAATTACATCTTGCTTGTTCTTACGCGTTTGTATCAACACGTACTATCGGAATATGCCAATAAGTGTGGCAAAACATGAAAGGATAATATACGTCCACATAAAACTCCACATAGCCCAATAGAGACATTTTCATCCTTTTTCAAATTTTGAAAAAATTTCTACGCCATAAATTTACAAAATACAGTATTTAAATAGTGAAATATGAGGATGTGATTTCATAGTAGAGGCTCTGCCTCTAAAAGTTCTTCACCGTAAATGCTTGAGTGAATTGGATAGCAATTAAAAAAGAATTAACGTCTATAATTTCTTTGATTTCATATTATTGACGTCAGTTTTTTGCAATTAGATTTTAACTTATGGTCTCTAGATCTATTACTTCTAGATCATCGAGATCAAAACATCATGGTCGTCGATAATAAAGCATGTGGCGAGAAATCGCCTGGGAACAGGAGCGGTTGGAATAGCCTGAAATCGCAGAAGTTCGGCTTAGATACAACTCGAATCAGGTAGTGAGTTCCATTCCACTGCGGCTTCCTCATTTTTATGTGGTAGTTTACATGGAGTTCCTGAACCAAAAGGACATGGGAAGCAGGGACGTTTGCAGCAAAATGGGTGGGCTAATGTTATTGATGGCTCTGTTGCAAGGTTCTTGATGATTGCAGATAAAAAATTATTACAAAGTTTTTTAGGAAAACTAAACCATGCAAGGCCTTTTATTCAAAATTTGTCAAGAGAAACTAGTAGCTTATATCAGAAAACTAGTAGTACAAGAAATATCAAATTCAATCATGAAGATATAGCCCACGTCAAAAGAATCAAAGAAAAAATAAAAAACCTACCAGATCTTTCCTTACCATTAGACAATAATTACTTAATAATTCCAACAGATGCCTTACAAATAGGTTGGGGAGCTATTCTATTAGGTTAACTCCAACCCATAGCCTAAAACCTATAATTCCCCGCCTATTCTCCCTCCAATCCATTTCAATCCAAGTTCTAATTTGGACTTAAAACCTAAAACCTACAAAAAAGCAAAATTTAGGTCAGGATTTAAGCCAAGATTAGTGGTGGAGCCCTCACCCACATGACTTTGTCTCCCACTTGTCTGCCAATAGAATTGAGCCCAACAACTCTTTTGGTTGACATTCAATGGGTTGTTGGTTATCCAACGATCCACATTTAATTTAGTTAATATTTTGGTTTTATATTTATAAATTTATTGAGTTCAACGACTGAGATCGAATATGATCAAATCTAAAGGTAAAAAAGAAAATAACAAAAAAAATTCTAATGGCCCAAATTTAAATTCAACTGTTAAAATAATTATAAAAAATTATTTAACTCAAAATTCACCTAAAAACTCTATAACTACTTATATATTTATTGAAACATCCACACAAAACTCACTTTTCTCCTATAATTCTTCCAATTTTTCTTTCTACCATCTTCCAAAACCATGTGTTTGCTCGTGTATCTTATGTTTATACATTTCTATCATGTGTTTCATATTCTTCTATAGTGTTTCATAAGTTTCATGTGTCGGTTTAGTGATTTTTCAATGTTTAACGGAATTTAAATATTTTTAGGTTAAAATGGTCATAAAATTAATTTCGGATAGTCTACATAATTTTTTTTAAAGTTAATTTTTTAAAATTTAAAAAAAAAAGCCTAAAGTTAATTTTCGGATAGTACATGAATTTGTACTGGTTTTATATGTTCTAATGTTTCATGACATCAAGCATGCAAGCTCTTCTCATGTGTTCTATGTTCTATTTTATTTATTTATTATATTTTATACCACTGAAATTGAGGGAAGTTACAATCTAACATAGAACCTCAAATAAGAATCGAATACAGAACCTCGTCGTCGACGTCAAATAAGATATAATCAATGATGTGAAGACTTGTATAAACACAATGAATTTCAAAGATGAAAGAGGAGGATATAAATGCAGGTCAAAGAAACATCATTTACCAGAACATATTTACAAGTTATCTCTAAAAAGCCAAGGTCACGGGTGGCCAAGAGGGCCCACTTGGAGACTTGGGATCTCAGCAGGAAATAAGCCAACAAGGTGTGTCACAAAAATCAAGTTTACATACATCAACACAGAAATACTAACACAACTATAATCATACAAAAGAAAAACAAGCAAAATACATAGGGAAAAAAAGGGGATTGTCACGCCTACATAGAAAAAACTTGAGCGTAGATGGGAATTTTCTGTCCTGCCTCTATCTCTGACTTGATGTAAGATATAGAGACAGGGCGGATAAATCCCCCATTACACGCTAGAATCCCTGCTAGCTTGGGCACCTGTCACTACCACCTCTACGACTACCAGATACCGAGGGAGGCGAGCTAGAACCGCCTTCAAAATCAACATCCGCATCATCACAAGACCAAGCACTTGCCTTCTCACAACCTGATGATGTGGGATAAGAATGCACATAATCCTCAAACTCACCACCCTTCCTCCCATCATAAGCCCCGGGAGACGCCACTGCGTCCGGCAGCGCTGCCTCACCCTCCAAGTACCTCACCACCTGCCTCATTGTGGGCCTTGCCTTGGGGGTATTATTTGAGCACATCAGCCCTAGCTTCAGCACCACCACAGCCTCCAGATCATCAAACTCAGCCCCCAATCTGGGGTCCACAACTTCAAGAATTGCACCAGCCTTCCACTTCTCCCAAACCCAATCAACCAACATCAGCTCCTCCGGCAGGGCTTTTGGCTCAATGGGTCTCCTCCCACACACCAGCTCCAGCAGCAGAGCACCAAGAGCAAACACATCCGAGCTCGGAGTTGGTTTTCCGGTCCGAGTCAACTCGGGAGCGAGGTAACCCAGTGTCCCAACAACCCTAGTTGTTGTAGGGTTTGCTCCATGCTCATACAATTTAGCAAGACCGAAATCTCCAAGCCTTCCATTCATCTCAGAATCCAAAAGTACGTTTCCTGCTTTTATGTCCCTATGAATCACAGTTTGCTCCCAACCTTCATGCAAATACAATAAGCCAGAAGCTACATTTTGAGCTATCTTGAACCTCTGTTCCCAGCTCAAAATTGCTTTTGGCTTCTCAAATAAGTACTTATCCAAGCTCCCATTAGGCATGAAATCATACACAAGTAACAAATCTCCGCGCCGGCGACACCACCCCAACAACTGCACTAAATTCCTGTGCCTGAGACGGCCAATGGTGGCGATTTCCGACACGAATTCCTGCAGACCCTGCCTCGACTCGTTCGAAATTCGCTTAACCGCCACTTGGGTTTCCGAATTCGGCAGTGTCCCTTTGTAAACCTTACCAAATCCACCAAACCCGATCACCTCTTTATCCCTGAACCCTCTGGTGGCCTGCTTCAGGTCGTTGTACCTGAATCTATGAGGCCCAATGTCGAGCTCCCACGGCTCGATCACCTCGGCGTTCTTGATCCTGTGAACAATGTAGAAGCCCAATCCGGCGGCCAAGATAAAGAAAACAAGAACAGAAAGTGAAACGCCAACGATCAACGCTAATGAATGCTTCTTTTTCGGGCCGGGAAGTTTAGGCAGAGCATCTAAATCCAGAGATTTGGCTTCTCCGTTCATCTTAAAGCTCCAACCGCAGACGTAGTGGGAGCTGGCGAGCATCCCGGTCGAAGCAGAGAACCCAACGTACATAAAATCTTCCAAAATCGGTGAAAGATCGACATCGAATGTTAAAATCGGGGATCTGGGTTTGATCGAATCGGGTGAAAGCATGACAGTGACTTTATTTTTCACCGAATCGTAATCGACCCAGGCCTGGATCGGCAGCCCACTCTTGAGATTGAGGTTCTCTTTCGTTGAATTTCCACTGCTGAAAAACCCGGCCGGGGTCGATTTGTTGGAAGCCAGGCTGTTGATATCGATTCCGACATGGTTGTCGTTGATGTCCCCGAATTCGAAGTCCTGGACTGTGTCGAATTCGACGGCAAAGATGTGGTTGGAGAAGTTGCCGACGACGGTGGCGTTGAGGATGCCGAGGTACTGGCTGGGAAGGGATCCCGGGAGCGACTTCGACGGCGAGATTATGAAGGCAAGGCCGTGGCCGCCGAGCTTTGGGTACTCCGGGACGATGGTGAAGACGAAGGAGGTGGAGAAGGAAAAGGCTTTGCCGTCGGTAGAGTTTTTGAATCGGACTGGGGCGGAGTAGAAGGCGTGGCCGAGGACTCTGAGAGTGTCGTTTGTGAGCTTTAGCATGCCGT